TCAACTGCACGTTTTCATGACTTAGCAGCTTGCATAAACTGTGTTTGAGTGTGTCAGTGAAAAATGTGATGTGGGTTACCCAGAAGACATAGAGATAGAGAACCAAGCATAACAGCTGTAAAAGTTAAGTGGAATAGACTATGGTAATGATTTTTCGTAGGCTGAGATATATCATGTCCCAACCTGTCTTTTCCCTCAGCCCCCTATATGATAGATGCGCTGATAATGCCTGCTGATTTGAAATTGAAATATTGTGCAAAGTATATGTAGATTGATTAAAGGGGGAGGGGATCAGTCTCCCAGTGAAATGACTGCAGACCTAGTGAATGACAGCTGCCCCCAAAGTGGGGGCTTCAGGGGTTCTGAACTTGGAAAAGATGCCTCAATTTTTATTCTTTCTCTTTTTTGTACACCAACCCAGCTCTAGACTGCATGGGGGGTAGAGTAAGATTATTTAGATTAATTCTACTTAAAAGATGCTAGTTTGGATAAAATCAAGCCATTAGTTATGATGGCAACCCAATTAAGCCAGTTTAACGTCCCTTATCTCGCTATTATAGTAATTGAGGGAAAAAATAAATTGAAGACCCAGCCATCATTCTTCCTTATTTCAAGTAGCAGTAAAATATCAATCATGTAAAAAATACCAGCTCCAATTTTGTCACTGACAAAACGGCCCAATAAAAGAACTCTGAAGGTGGGTCAGCAGGCAGTTGTGATATAACACACTTGGGGGCAGCACCCAAGCCCACAGCCAGCACAGAGGAGAGCCAGCCTCCCGTCTTAGCCACACCACCAGGGACTTGGGACTGACCGGCAGCCTCAGAGTGAGGGCGGTGGGTGGGTGGCCCAGCTGGGTGGGTGTAAGCACTGGAAATCGTGAATGCAAAATTCCTGGCGCCCAGTAAATGCCTCATAAATATTTGTCAACCAACTTCAGCAGAGCTACAAACAGCTTTTCTAAGCTTATCACAAAAACCATCAGTGCCCGAGGCAAACCATCAAATGCCATCTGACCAAGTGATCTGAGCCTTTTTCTAGGGAAAGGGTGGAACCTGGAGCCCTCTGCTCCACTGTAGGGTGCTAAAATCAGCTAGAAAATGCCTCCTCTGGCTTGAGTGGAGAGGATATTGATTTTCCTTTCTTTTCTCCTAAGAAAAATTAATTTTCAGGAGAATATTCTTCTGATAGCTTGCATCATTGTGCTTCGTAAACTGACCTAAAAAATTTCAACAAAAAAGGGCCTCCCCGGTGTCGCAGAGGTTGACAGCTGGGTTGCGAAGCTGCCCACAGCCTCTGCAGCGCCGGTTCGATCCCCGGCTGCTCCCGGCCACCGGAGGAGGGTCCCACATGGCGCGCAGACCTCTCCTGCCACCCGCTGCTCCCCTCAGCAGTGTACTTCGGTCCTTCTGCCTGCTCTGCTCCCCGCTCTGGCTCTTGTGGATTCTCTCACCCTCCCACGCTTCTGACTGTACCCAGTGCTTGTATAAATAAATAAATAAATCTTTAAAAAAATTTTTTTTTCAACAAAAAAGAAAAGAAAAGAAGGAAAAGAAAGGGAAGGGGAGGGGAGGGGAGGGGAGGGGAGGAGGACTTAACCAACATTTTCTCAAAAATGATAGGATATCATATAATTAATTAATTTTTAAAATATACCAGCTGCTCTGAAATCATGCCTCTGGCCTTTCGAGGAAGCTGCACAGAAGAGGAAGAATGTTCTGCTCCGTATCCCAGATGTTTTGCTCCAGTTGAGGCTTTTCCTATTGAAAGAGCAAACCCACGACGGAAAACACTGTCCCCAGGATGCTTAGTTCTGGCATCTGGTGACGCAGAGTAGTCCTTGGTGGGGAGGGGTGCTGATGGAGGGGGAGCGACCAGGGGAGGGATTTCTGGAGGATTCTGGACAACATCTCCTGGGCCCTGGGAACTATGGGAACCAAATGGCCTAGTGAGGAAGAATCAGGACCGTTTTAATTGCACCTGAATTTCGGATGGTGATGTTCTCCAACCTGTGCATACAAATTTGGAGAGGTTCTTTCCCTGAATCTTGAGAATTTTATTTACCAGCTTGACTGAGTAAGTTAAGCTCATTTCACTCAACTTCAGAGAAAGACGTGGCCTGGGGACAGCACTTGCGGAATTGGAGGCAGGAATGGACTTAGTTCACAAAAGGCCCGTTCTCCCGGCCGTATTTCAAATGCTCATGATACCTTCCCGTCCATTGCACCAAATAATTTCATCCTATGTTCAGGGGGAACAGAAAATAATGGATTCCTGAGATAATCAATTAATTCAATTGGACTCAAGAAGTTCAATAACAACTTCTCGATAAAGAAATTCGACCGAATGACTGCAGCTGACAGTGAAAACCCAGCTTCAGAGGAATGACAATTTTCCTTTGAGTCGTTCTAACAAAAGTTAATCCTATCCACCCTTAGAAATCGCTATCCGTTGCTGATTCATGAGTTCTTGTTCTGCAGATAGTTATTTGAATGTTTACTCTGGAACTGTCTTGGGTGTTGATATATGTAAATTTCCAGCAGGCCCCCCTCAGACTTACCTGTTTTTACTGCTGACTCAAAGCTCAGCTCCCTGCAAGCTGGTTTCTTCCCCATTAATGGAAACCTTCCCCCCAAAGTCACCAGTAACAGTATCCCCGCATGGTCCCACCCCTGGGGGTCACAACACATGGCTTCCTCTTCCAGTTCCTCTCCCTTATGTCTTCTGCTAACTGTAAACTTTGGGGTTCCCTCAGTCTCCACCCCTATGTCATTCTGTACTTTTATCTCCACTAACAGAATTTGCAAGGAAGGTTTCAAAGTATATGGGGTGACAAGTCCCCAACCACTAACTCAGCCCCGGCTGCATTCTTCCATGCAGACATGGAACTGAAGGGGTGATTGGCACAACAAAAGGGTGATTGAACTTACTGTCTTGCTGCTCCCCACCACCTTCTGCTTTCCCTCAGGAGGCCTCATCAAGGGCCTAATTGCCAAGATGTTTCTTTCCTGTCCAAGCTGCCCTCTCCCTGTACTACTGGTCTTCCTTCTCCAGAGTCCAGCACTTCCTGGCAAACCACCTCATGAATTTAAAAATAAGCCCATTCTGTTCCCCACTCTGTCTCTGGTGAATCCTCTCAGCCTTCCACATATCTGGCCTGTACCCTGGCTCTTGTATAAATAAATAAATCTTTAAAAAAATAAAATAAAATAAATAAAAATAAGCCCAATACAGGAGTTCCACTGCCTTGGCCCCATGGAACTATGGGCATGGAAGGCTAGTGGGGAGCTGCTGTGGTCCATTCCACTTTGTCTCCCTGCGTCCCCTGGAGGTTGTCACCAGATGGTGCCTCCTCACCCTCTGGGTTCTGATGAGGCATGAACCCATCTGCCCACCAGCCCACCCACCTATTTCATGGTGCAGCTGCCGGCGATGAAAATGCTACTTGATAGTCCTCACCCCGTGGCAATCCCCTGGTCCCTGTTTTTTGGTGTTTCTGCCTGCTCTTCCCCTCGCTGTCCAAGTCATAAGCCTCTTGAAGCGAAAACGGCTCTTTGTTTCCTTACTAGCAGAATGGCATCCCTGGCCCGGCCGTGCCCTGGTCGCCTGTCCTTCAGACTCCAACATTTACCCCCCTTTCACCCCTCCATGACTCCCTAATTTAACTTTATAAACTTAATGTGCCTTTCAGAAATTAAACACTGTCTGAAATAAAAATCAAATGAAGCTGGGAAATGTGGTTAAGCGCAAATGAGGGTAGGAGCAGTAAGATGAAGTCATCTGTAAAACTGGGGTACTCTCATTTTAGAAGTGCATCAGACCCTTTTTGGAATAAGGCAAATCTGTCTACTTACTGCTTGTGGGCTGAAGATTTGGCTCTCACTTTTCTCACAGAAAATTGGAAAGTGTTAATGCATAGTCAGTTTGTCCCAAGAGCCAACCTCTAGCGCACAGGTAAAAAAAGACACATTTAGAGAAAAGGCACATAAAGTCAGCCTGAGTCTCACTAAAACCAAATACACTTTTCTTGAAGTGAAAGACATTATTGGATAGGTGCTTATCAGGGCTTCTTAAAATAATGCTTCCTAATCCACAAAACATTTCAGGAAGGAGCCAAAATATTGAAAAAATATTAAAATATTTAGTAATAAGGTCCCATGATAATGGCTGCTTTCAACTGCGCAGGTAGCCAGGTGGGGCATTCCTTCTCACAACTAGCCCCCCTTTCTAGCTCCCAACCCCTCCAGCCCCCATGGGCACATCAGTCACCCCAGACCTCTGGATTAGACCCTCCTCCCTATAGTCGACCACCCAGTCAGAGCCAAGTCATCCCAGAGACAGCATGGTCCTCCCTCCTGGACTCTCCATCCTCCCTATACCACCAAGCTATGTGCAGACTCGGAGAATTCTATAAAAGGTTGAATTTGGTGGGCCTCCCTGGTGGCACAGCGGTTGAGCACTGGGTTGCGAATCTGCCCGCAGCCTCTGCAGCGCCAGTTCGATCCCTGGCCACCAGGTGAGGGTCCCACATGGTGCATAGACCTCTCCTGCTGCCCGCTGCTCCCCTCAGCAGTGTACTTTGTCGGTCTGCCTGTTCTGCTCCCCACTCTGACACTGGTGAATTCTCACACCCTCCCGCACTTCTGACTGTACCCAGTGCTTGTATAAATAAATAAATCTTTAAAAAAAAAAAAAAGCAAGGAAAAATCCGATGAATAGCTCTGTTCCTTGAGTGGCTTTCCATGAGTGCAATGCATTAGAACAACTGCGTTAGAAGCTTGGATGTCTGAAGGCAAAGCCCAAAGGACAGCAATCCAAAGTCTCATTTAAGATAAAGCCTTGGGTGAATCCCTAACTGTTACACCACACGTGGGCCAGGGCCATTATTCCTTGTGGAAAGCTGCCGTGATGACCCTGGTGTCTGGCACCTTCTTTGGGAAAAGCAGCATGGAGATAACTCTGTCCCGCAGCTGTGTGCTAACACCTTCCCCTTCCCACAGGCAACCCGCCCGCCACTGGCACTGGCACGCTGCTCATCACCCTAGAGGACGTCAACGACAATGCCCCGGTCATCTACCCCACGACGGCTGAAGTCTGCGACGACGCCAAGAACCTCAGCGTGGTCATCTTGGGAGCCTCAGACAAGGACCTCCACCCTAACACAGATCCTTTCAAATTTGAAATCCACAAACAAAACGCAGCAGATAAAGTCTGGAAGATCTCCAAGATCAACAGTAAGTCCCACTAGCGTACCAGCTCCCTTGGGCCCTGACTCAGACTCCCTGTCCCCCAGGGGCCTCTCCTGCATTCTCACAGCCTTCTCTCCCTGACGCACACGTTCCAGCATGGCTGCCAGCACACAGACACAACAGGTGGAAGTATTGGCGGTCACTTCCCGATAAATTGCAAGCATAAAAGTGCTCTCCGGCTTCCTCTCCTTTCTGTCCTGCACACATATATATGCTCTACTGTGCACTCTGTATTTTGCCCCACACTGTACACTTCTGCTCTACACCATACCGTATGCCTGACACTATATCCCTTGACTATATACTTATGCTATACACTCTACTTATACCCTGTACTGTGTCCCTACATGGTATCCCTGCATGTGCACTCACACACTGTACTGTATACCCTACACCATATCCCTGTACTGTACCCCATATTGTATAACTATACTATACACCCTATACTGTATACACGGCCATTTAGGTCCCATACTGTGCATCCCGTACTATATCCTTAATTGTATACTTACACTGTATACTGTAAACTGTATATGCTATACTGTATACACTATAGTGCAGTCTCTATGATGTGCTCTATCCTGCACACCATACACGCAGTGTGAGCACTGTGTACTATACCCTTCATACTGAATACCCTGTACTGTACTCTATGCATGGTTTACTACACCCTGCACTGCATGCCCTATACTGTATACCACACACTGCACTGTACTCTGCACACTCCACTATACACTGCACACTGTGTGCTGTACACCCTGTACTTACACTGCTGCACACTGTGTGCTGTACATGCTGCACACTGTGTGCTCTACACCCTGCACTTACATTGCTCCACACTGTGTGCTCTACACCCTGCACTTACACTACACACTGTGTACTGTATACTCTGCACTTACACTGCTGCACATTGTGTGCTGTACACCCTGCACTTACACTGCACACTGTGTGCTGTACACCCTGCACTTACACTGCTGCACACTGTGTGCTGTACATGCTACACACTGCATGCTGTACACCCTGCACTTAAACTGCTGTACACTGCATGCTGTACACCCTGCACTTACACTACTGCACACTGTATGCTGTACACCCTGCACTTACACTGCACACTGTGTGCTGTACGCCCTGCACTTACACTGCACACTGTGTGCCGTACACCCTGCACTTACACTGCTGCACACTGTGTGCTGTACATGCTACACACTGTGCTGTACATCCTGCACTTACATTGCTATACACTGTGTGCTCTACACCCTGCACTTACGCTGCACACTGTGTACTGTATACCCTGCGCTTACACTGTTGCACATCATGTGCTGTATATCCTCCACTTACACTGCTGCATACTGTGTGCTGTACACCCTGTACTTACACTGCACACTGTATGCTGTACACCCTGCACTGCATGCCCTACCCCACACACTACCTTGTGTTCCGTGTACTGAACAAACACCTAGTCTTTGACCCTCTGCAAGTTGCTCAGTGGCCCCCTGTTGCAGCTCACTTTCACCCACACTATGGAGACTTTCCATGCTCTGCTTGCTTTCATAAAAGACTAAAGAAAAGAGAAGCACCAGGACAGGGATCTTCAGAAAATCTTAACTTCTCCTCCTGCATCTTCCACTGTATGCTGCAGACCTCCCCAAAATTGCCACAGTCTTCCTGACCTTGGCTTTTCTTTCAACTCTGGATTTTATTTCTGATTTGGGTATCTACTTCCATCTATCCTGTCCCTCAGGTATGAAGCTGGCAAGCGATTCCCTTCCGACCAGTCTTGCTACATGGGCAGGTGGAACTCAAAACTCAGCCCCACATTTATCATCTGCCTGCTTAAGACTGAGCCACAAGTCCACTGAATTCTGAAGAACCCCTATATCCACAGTACCTCACCTACTTGCTTCCCCTGGCAAACGTGAACTCACCAAGTTCACCTTGCCTTGCCAAACCATAACCCAGAACTCACACAGAGACGTCCTCTCAAATCCAGCAATGACGTGACCCGTGACTGTCTCACTCAGCTGACCCCTCTTCTAACATCAGCAGTGGGATTTTTTTAAGGGATGGAGAATAGCACATTTCATTAAGTTTTGAAAGTGTGTTGTACAATTGTGCATGAAATTTTCTATTAAAAATATCTCATTTCTATTGTTAGGGCCTAATCTCATATCTCATCTCATTAGGGCCCTTCCCTGGTTATTGATGCTATTTGCCTGTTTGTCTATTTTATTGCTTTTTAAAGAATGAATTGTTACAGTAATTACTTTTTAATTAAAATTAAAACCCCTTCTGTTTGAGGGGTTAGGGCTTTATTTGCTAGTTTCTGTGGTTGTATCTATCTGGTCTGAGTTATCCTCACCATCCCTTTCCAGGTGGAGCATCCCCCCTCCTGGAGGGAAGTGAGGTGCTCCCTGACATGATCTACAGTTTGTCAGGGGAACTACCTATCTGGGCTATTTCTGTAACTCTTGCCTTCCGTTTAGGATAACGCTTCGCCTGTGTTTTCATGTCATCACATTTGGTTTTCCCTTCTGGTTTCATTTAATAGATCAGATGCCTTCTAAATTCTTTTCTTTTTTTTTTAAAGATTTATTTATTTATGCATACAAGAGCTGGGGTACATGCCAGAGGTGTGAGGGGTGAGAGGATTCACCAGAGAGAGTGGGGAGCAGAACAGGCAGATATTCTGAAATACACTGCTGAGGGGAGCAGCGGGCGAGTCAGGAGAGGTCTGCTGCACCATGTGGGTTGGTCCCTGGCTGGCCAGGAATCAAACTCATGCTGTAGTGGCTGCAGATTTCTTCATAGGTTGTGTCTTAACCCTTGCGCCACCAGGAAGGCCCCCTAAATTCTTTTCATTGTCCCCCATTTTTTTTTCTGAATATTTAACATTGTTGTGCCCAAAAGGGGGCAGTTTAAAAAAAAAAAATCCCTAGTCATCTGAGTGACTGAAGAGAGAATTACCCCAGCCTGAACAGAGCAGCCAGGCAGAGTGGCCACTTCAAGCCCTGCTGGGTGGGTGGCCTGGTCACAGCCACTATCCCCACTAAGCACCACTTACAGATCCAGCCTCCATGTCACAATGGACAGTGCAATGGACCTACCCAAATCCAGGGTAGAAAGACTGAAAAGGATACAGATTGGGGCCTCCCTTGGTGGCGCAGCGGTTGAGCCCTGGGCTGCAAAGCTGCCCGCAGCCTCTGCAGCGCTGGTTCAATCCCCGGCCACCAGCGAGGGTCCCACATGGGTGTGACAAACCTCTCCTGCCACGCCCGCTGCTCCCCTCAGCGTGTGTTTGGTCAATCTGCCTGCTCTGCTCCCCGCTCTGGCTCTGGTGAATCCTTTTACCCTCCTGCGCTTCTGACTGCACCCAGTGCTTGTATAAATAAATAAATAAATCTTTAAAAAAAAAAAAAAAGGATACAGATGGTAGAACCATCTCCATGTCAACATACAGGGGTGCTGCCCAATTGAGAGAGAATGGACTTTTTTTAAAGTCTCAGACTTTATTTTGGTTATTTACATTTAGATTCTTACATAAAGATGGCCTAAGCTGATACTTTCTCTTCTTTTAATTTTTTTTTCCAGCTTTATTAAGGGATAATGAAAATGAAACATGCTGGAGACATACAACAGGATGATGATAAAGTGGATTTTTCTTTTTTTTTTTTAATATTTATTTATTTATACAAGAACCAGGGTACAGGCCAGATGTGCAGGAGGGTGAGAGGAATCACTGGAGACAGAGCAGGGAACAGAACAGGCAGACTGACTGAAATACACAGCTGAGGGGAGCAGCAGGCGGGGCAGGAGAGGTCTGCTGTGCCATGTGGGTATCTCCTTGGCCTGCCGGGATCGAACTGCACTGCAGAGGCTGCAGACAGCTTCACAGTGTTGTACTCAACCGCCTGTGCCACAAGGGACGACCTAGAGTAGATTTTTCAATGATTTTTTCCTAGATGTCGAACTTGGTCTTTGTGAAGATGACTTTATCTGTGTCATAACTTTGCAGGGAGGAGTTCTTGGTAATCAATCATGTTCACGAAAGTGGTTGGGAGGACAAGGGAGGGAAGCTTCTGTTCAGCACTGTTTGATAGGGTAGCCACACCAAGTGCGGCTACTAGATACTCGAGATGTGGCCAGTGGAAGAGCAGAGCAGAATTTTTATTTTTATTTTTATTGGACATTAACAATTTTTAATTGAAGCCCTCCCAGGGTCGTAAACTAAAGCTCAATGCAGGTTTCACAAGGGCTGAGCCACGGAAACCCCACCCTTCGATTTGGAAATGTCCAGCCCTCTCTCACCAAGGCCCTCCTTGCTCCTTGTCTTCACAGACACGCACGCCCTGGTAAGCCTTCTTCAAAATCTGAACAAAGCCAACTACCAGCTGCCCATCATGGTGACAGATTCAGGGAAGCCACCCATGACGAACATCACAGACCTCAGGGTACAAGTGTGCTCCTGCAAGAACTCCAAAGTGGACTGCAACGCAGCAGGGGCCCTGCACATCAGCTTCACTGTGGTCCTGCTGGTCTCACTCTTCAGTCTAGCCTGTAAGTCTGCCTAACCCTACTGTGTGCACGCCAAGTGTAAAAACAAACTTCCCTGCAGCTGTCTCCCCCCATGGAGCTTTCCAAAACAAAAGTGATCCCAGAAGAAACACTCATGTTTAGCTGGCATCTGTCTGACAGAAGGTACTACATGTAAACGTGCTCCAGCTGTTTAAACGCCCCTTAACTCACCCCTGCCAGCCAGTCTGAGCACTGGTTTCTGCCCTGACAAGGTGATAAGAAAACTTCCTAAACTGGAGCTAATAAAATTAAGACCAGAATAACTGACCGGTCTGCGAAGACCTTACTGCTCTCTGCATTGTGCAGATAACCTTTTGCAAGGTCAAAGTAGATACTGTGCCTTTTTAAGAACAGCCATGAAAATTCATGGATGGAGCTTGGGTTGTGGAAAGAAAGAAATGCGTAATTCACACGTTTCCCACTAACTGGTGGTAATGACTATAATATCATGAAGCAGCATTTTAGGCAAATTGGTCCTTATGCCAAGTAATCTAATGTGAACATAAAATGAACAGGTATGTATTTCAAATATTTCCCATGTATGGCATTTATTATTTACTTAATTATTTATACTAATCCTTAGCAATTATTCATGTATAACTAATGCCATTCAAAAGCCTTTGGTACTAATATTTTGAGATTATGGGTATAATTGAGAATTAGGAAATTGGAAAACTTATGATTTAAAAAAGAGTAAAAGTTATTACATCTTGGCGACAGTGTTAAGTGGGGTCAATAGTAAGTCACACACTCCAACATTGAATATTCTGGGTGTGAGCTCTGTGTGGGATCAGCATCCTGATGGAGGAGAAGACCTTGCAGTGTCTCACCAGATGGACGGATGGATGGATGGGTGGGTGAGTGGATGGATGAATGGATAGATGGGTGGGTGGTTTAATGGATGGATGAAAGGAAATATAAATTCCTCTCTTTCTCTCATTCATTTCTCTTTTTTTTTTTTTTTTGGCTTCTTTTTCTTCAAAAAAACATTACAGGTAAAGATGAAATACCCTCTTCCTATCCACAATTTTATTTCCTACCCTCTCTTCCCAAAGACTATAAATTAAAACAGTAAGCCTTGATCTGTTTTTAAATTAAAAGAATAAATATAAATATAGATTCAAAGATGTGACATCTTCTTACCAACAAGGAATTAGCTCCCTACATCGGAGACCCACAGCCTATAGATACTAATAATGAGCAAGTTTCCAAAGACTGCCCACTTCTCATCTCTCTCACCAGAGCTCCTGGATCATAGTTAACCTAAGTCAGAATTGCCTGCTCAGTCCTAAAGAACGCACATCCGGCATCATTGGTTAAGAAACACACACAAAAAAGATGAACATACACTATGTTTGAGATCTCAAGTGTACTTTATGTTCTCCCCTAAATGGAGAGCCATCACGTGGTTAACTCACTGTAGGTAGGGGCTGGTAGGTAAAGCAAAAACCATCCTCAAAAGGAGCTCTGAAACTCCCTACCTAGTTGGAAAAGTACTCAGAAGACATTCCAATGTTTTATGCCACAAGGCAGGTGGTTTCAGTCCCAAAACAGTTGAAAAGAGCTGTTACCAGTCACCTGTGTGACCTCAGAATGAACCTTATTTTGGCCCTATAGAAAAGAAATAATATTATGTAATATTGTTTTGTTTGAGCATTGTACCATATACAATATTTCTTATCTTATTATCCACCTACCCCAAGATGTTCTTCCCCACAAAACAAGGAAGTGCCTGGCAAACATGTGAGAAGCTGGGTTAGAGCTAGCAGGTTTAGGTAGCCACAGGCCTCCTGGCCCAGGCGCTCTCTCCTGAAAGCAGAAGTCAAGGTGGTCCATCCACATTAACAGGACACTGACCAGGGGCTGCCCAACAATGGGCCTAAAACATTATTCAAGGTGGGGACCAGGAATTGTATCTGAAATTATATCATAAAAGAACTGAAATTATATCATAAAAATGCAAGGGTAAGATAATGTCCCAACTCAGGCATAGTTTGAAAGAATTTTGGGAGCTGATAGAATTTGATGTTTCTTTAAATCAGGATTTGACAAACCATGTCCAAGGGCCCAAATGTAGCCCACCTCCTGCTTTTGTAAATAAAGTTTTATTGGTACACAGCCATGTCCCACTCATTTACACATTATCAGGCCCTGATTTTGCTGTGGTGGCAAAACTGAATAGTTGTCACAGAGACCTGATGGCCAATAAAGCCAAAAATATTTACTACCTCACCCTTCACAATAAAAGCGCACCACCTCTTGCCTTGAAACAAAGTACCTAAAACTGCCACAACCACCTCATATAACATGGGAAGACAAGTAGCCTTTTCTGCTCCCCTCCAATAATATTGGGACCCAAGGAGATAAGCATGCACCCCCCACCCTGATGTTCAGTGACTTCTGCTTCCTTCATTGTCTGGGGATTTTGTCCCACTTTATAGATGAGGAAGCTGGTGCTCAGAGAGGTCCTGGGTGACAAAGCATCCACCATTACACTGTCTTCCTTGTGGGAAAGATCATGGAGTGATTCAATGTGTTGTGATACTATAGTGACTATGGCACCAGCAAGCTGTGCTTCCTTCTCTGACAGCTAAAAATAAAGGAAATAAAACTAATGACGTTGAAAGTAATAAAAAATGTAAATGAAATTATTTTTACTGCCAATTTTGTTGTTTAAATTATGCGTTGATGACACTAAGGGGAAGGTAATTCTCCCCCTAGGACCTACCCAATGAAGCAAACTGGCATCTCCATTATGCTGTGTCTGTGGGGTTTTTTAGGCTCTGCACGGAATGTCACAGGCAACTCAAGGAAGAATATAATCCTGAAATCTTTTTATACATTATTTTAGGCTTAATCAGCAATAGGAGGAATATAAAAGGACAGATCTGGTGAACCGTATTAACAAGTACCCAAATTAAATGTCTCTGCCTTGGAAAGGAGAAGGTGTTGAATCATGGCTTCCATCACACCGAAGAAGATGAGCCAAAAAATATTTACCACAAATATTTTTAATTCTAATGCTTCTTATGAAAGTATTCTCTGCATTCCATTCTAAGGTCTTTTGATGATTTTTGGTAACTGTGAACAGTGGTGTAGCCATACCATAATCAAGATGTAGTTGCCTTGTACCCTTTTGCTATTAGCCCCCTCCCCCCAAACCCAATTGATCCAACCATTGATCTGCTTTCACTGATTATAGTCTTCCCCCTTCTAGAATTTTCTATAAATGGAAACGTACAATCCACACCATCAGGTGTATCAATATTTAGTTCCTTTTTGTGGTGATGTGTGTTATGGGCAGAGACAGGGCCTGGAGAAGCTGCATGCCCAGGTGGACCAGGCTGTCCTCTGACTGCAGATGGCCCCTCATCACAGCCCAGCTTCAGGGACGGCGACTGTTGACCTCCAAGGTTCTCTGTGCTGAGCACATGCAAAGCTCAGAACTTTACATAAATTACATGGGTGAACTCATGTCATCCACCCAGCAGCCCTAGGAGGAAGAATGTTTAATTTTTAGCCTAAATTGACTTAAAGCAGGGATTGGCAAATTTCTCATTAGAAATCAATTAGAGACTTTCTAATTCAATAGCTTTATTCATCCATTTCTTTTTCTGTATTTCACAATGACCAAAATTATTATTTCACGTTATTGCTACCACTCTGGAAAATACTTTTAAATAGGTAGAGTGATGCCATGTAGCATGTTCTTTTCACGTCCCTCAAAAGTAGGTGAACCCGTAGTGGATAGTTTACCAAGTAACCAAAGAGTTTAAGGCAGTGGTGACAAAGCAATGAAAAAGTCACCTGAAATAAAGGCATTGAATGAGTTCAGAAGGTGCCTAACTGCAAAAGAACTCGCTTGTCAAACAATATAAAGATGCCTTTGTATAAAAAATAACAGCCTAAAATTGCACCGGAATCAGTGTATTAATTTCCACAGTTCTTTCTATTAAAACAGCTTTAATCCTTAACCTTCTCAATATCATTTTGGCTAAACTTAAAAGTCACATCTTAAAGACTCTTTATGTAGAGTTTAGAGGAGGTGCTTTAAATTTTCCAAGCAGACAAGTGACAGGATCAAGCTTTAGATGCAAAGGATGCCAAGGAGTAGGTGAATTTACATAATCTGTCCTCTGCATATTTCTTACAGGAAGGTCCAAGCTTTACAGAGTAGCCCACAATAGTTCTAGCCGTTAATTCTTTGCAAAGCAAACTTCTATTCAATGGTAAGCTGACTTTTACATGTTTTTAACTCTTTAAAACATAACATGAGATTTAGTGGGCCATTTCTTCATACAACTCAAAGATACAATAATAACTAAGCAAAACCAGCATTGACCAATATCCATTCACACTATAACCAGGCAGAGTGGACCCGCAGGCTGGCGGGCAACCTCAGTAAACTTTGACAAGACCCTCAAGCCATGAAGTCGGAGGAAGGGACCCGGAGCCAAATATCTGCAGGCTCCAGAAGCTGGAAAAGGCAAGGAAGTAGCATCCTTCCTTGAGCCTCCTAAGGGAACCCAGCCCAGCCAACACCTTGATTTTGGCCCTGCGAGACCCACTTTGGACTTCTGACCTGCAGAACTACAAGAGAATGAGTGTGAGGTTGCACGCCAGTGCATCTGTGGTCGTTAGTGACAGCAGCCTCAGGAAACTCACACCACGTCCAAAGAGTCAGCAATAGTTCTTCTCTGCAACCAAAAAGCCCACAAAAACCTCCAGACAACATGGGTGAACACAAGAGACAGCCCAGTGGTGGCAGCCGCAGCCAAGCTGCTGCTGGTCTGAGAGGAGATGTTTGGCGATAGCATTTCTTAGAGGCCCCGCTTTTTAAGATATGAACCAGCAGGACAATTCACGCTCTCTTCCAACATTATGCTTCAGGGAAAAAAATCAAAACACCTTTCCCCAAGGGACTGCAGTATTTATAAATGTGTTTATTACAGCTGACTTGTCAGCCATTGTTCTGGGGTTTAGCTGAACTGTTTGGAAGAGAGTTGTGAGACTCCTTGGCTTAACTCTGTGTCTTTTCCATTCAGGTCTGTGAGAACTCCTGACATCTGAGGCTTGACTACCAAGTTTCCATAGCAACAGGAAAAAAATCCAAATCTGAAGATTGCCGTTTACAGCTCTCCAACTTCACAACTAGGCCTCAATGGTTCCCGATTTTCATTTTCTTTGCGATTTCACTTAGTCTGTACTTCGCCATTTTGACAGCCTCTTCCTTTCTCCTTTAATCAATGGGATCCTCTGAATTTCCCCTGAATGTTTAAAGATCACAGCTTATAACTTGACCTTCTGGGTGCAGGAACAATGACGGCGTCTTCTGATGTATTGCCACGTTGCTAGTCAGCACCTCGCCCTTACATGTGTCTGTGGGTTAGTATTTGTATATGTGTGAGTATCTGTATGTGTATATACACAGTATTTATAGAGAGAGATACAGGATAAGCCTACTTTTGATATGTCTCATTCTCCCCTGAGAGGTTAAACAAAGAAAGGATAGAAGCTGGGGCCACTCGCCACCCACTGGCCTGAGGGCACCTGCATGGGCCACAGAGCTGACCTTCTCCACCAGCCCGTCCAGCCCGGACGCTGCCCAGACCAGCCAGCCAGGTCCACAGAAAGAGACATCCTTTCTCGTTAGCAGGACTGCAGCCAGTTCTCACTGCCATCGTGTGTCGGGATCTGAGCAAAAGCTATAAGCAGCAGAGCAGGAAATTTTGCCATCAAACATTGAGAACAGGCCTGGAAGCTTCTTTCGGGGGCATCTATCTGCATCCATGTGTGTCCCAACCCACAGCCCCACTGGCTCCTATGGGTACTCACATCGCAGTAGAAAATCTCTCCCTCCTCGATACACGTCCCGTCGCACGTGTCATCCTGGGGGTCACACATGCATACGAAGAGGTCAGCAGGTACCACGCGTATACACATACCTGCCCACATGTATAGACATACCTTTATGCACATACACTCTGTTTGTTTCATATATACATGCATAAACTAGAGTAAATACAGGTAGTTTTAAAAGTACCCTTTTGTGTGAATCGACTACCGTTGTTTGCAAACCTGAAAATAAAAGATGTTCATTATGTATGAAAAGTAATCGATTTTTATTCTGTGAGCATGTAAAAGTAAGAGGAAAGTTAGTACTAAGATTATCTTCTTGTTGATAAACTGTACATGAACCATCAAAGCTCACACCAAATTTTTCTACCAGATGAAACTAGTGACAGCCACGAACTAGGGGAAGGTAAGTGTCTTAGCATATTTTAATGCCTTTGCTCACAAAAGGTTTTAACCCCATGCACACACACACGTGTGCACACACACGCTTCCTTATGCAATCTCTGTTTGCATCTATGCTTTCAGTTCACCTTCTGTAGGAAGTAGAAGTCATGTTGTCTTTACTGTAGTGAAGTTCCACAGATAGTTTCATATATTGTATTTGTTTCTATAGTAAATCTTTTTGGAGCATACAGAATGCAGAGATTTTTTTTCCATTAAAATAAATGGGTGTTAGTGGTGAAACGGCTGGACAATAGCTTTTCTCTGGTTTCTATGTTGTGTCTAATGTTGATGATGCTGGGTCTTGCTTGGTGCAAGGTCACATTTCTGACAGGCCATTTGGGGTCCGTTGTTCATCTCCTGTTAGGTGAGTGAGTCTGTAAAGCTAGAAGCTCACAGCTTGGGCAACGCGCTCATCTTACGAACAATCTGAGCATTTCACAATTGGCTGTGACGGTGATTGCATCCCCAAAGCGGAGTGAGCACCTCCTCATTGGGATGCCTGCATTCACACAGTCACGGCCATCTGTCTACAGTTCCAGGACATGGTAATTTTGAACAAGTCCTGGTGCTTAACCAGAACCTGCCACCTCCTGAAAGTGACATGATCCTTCCCCACAACTGCACGGAGCAGGCTGCGTGGCCAGACAAGGCCAAGCCTGCGCATCACACTTTTCAAGGTCTCCTCTTCTGGCCTGACAGGATGCAGCTTTGTGCTCCCTGGTGCCCCTCTCTCTCCTCTCCCTACAACGCAGGGGGAGAAAACTCATCCTGGAATAAACCAAGGAGCAGCTGCAGGTGGCCGGGTGGTCAGCCCCCGACCCAAAGGCTAGCTAACCATCAGAAAGCTCACTCTCCTTCACAAACCAGGCCATCCCTGAGAAGAAAATAGAGACACCGAGGGGCCCATTCATTCAGCTAAGGAAACCAGTGCAAGACTCCTTTGCGCTCATTCATAGTCAGTCCTGCACTTGGCAGATGAAGCCAGTAGATTAACTTAGCTGAGAATGGGGAAATGGTGTTAAATGCATTCTTCATTCACAAGTAAAACATGCCTTCATTTGCCCTTGTTGAAGTAGACTCCCTCACCCCAGAGTTCTTGTAGGGACGGCGATATTTCCATCATGTTGTTCTTTCTTATTCTTTAAAAAAAATTTTTTAAAAAAGACGATTTCTTAGAAGCCAAAATGGGAGCATTTTGTGAATCATAGGATTTTTTTTAACTTACATTTACATTGTTTACTGAAAGCAAAAGCAGAATCAAAGCACCAGTTCATTTTTTTTTTCAAGACACCAGTGCATTTTAATTTAGTCCAAGTTTCAGGGGGAAACAAGTCAAGTAAGCACTGAAATTGCTTTTCCCAATTACTGAGCATAAGACAGAGGGTTTTATTTCCAGTGACTGAACGGTGACTGAAAGTGACTGACACCTTCTTCATTTCTTTTTGTGACTACATCAACCACTTTTGTTGATTACAAATTACATTTTCTTCCCATTTTACATGATATGTTATTTCAGATCATTTGTTTTAACAAGAAGTAGCAAACGCTTTCTATTTTGATGAACATCACCTTCAATGCTGCCAGTTCTCTCCAAATGAACATCGCTTGAGGCAAACGTACTTGAAATGTTTGTCCTGTGTTGACTCTAGGCCAACACCTGCAAATCTGTGCATTGCAGCAAAATAAACCCGCCACATGCCAAGGTAGGTATCAAATAAGGCTGAGCTTATACTTTAAGAGCACTGTTAGATATGCTGATAACTCATGCCAAGTTTTCAAACTGTCACTTTAAACAGCCTGATAAGTAGACTTATCCAATAATCAATCATCCAATTATTGATAGTAAGTCAGACTACATTTTGTCCAAAATAAATATATTGGGGCTTGACCTTAAGAGCTGGAAACTACAAAGTCACTACCAAGGCCACATTCAGTGCTGAGGTTAGTGCAATGGCACCATGCACAAGCCAAGCAGGGGCTTCTGCAGGAAAGCATCTCCTGGGGCTAAGCAAGGTACAAAAAGAGAACAGGCAATAATAATCATGAATTGTTTTTACTGATTGTTTATTATGTGCCCACAATACAAATTTTATACCGATGAATTCATTGAATCCTTCCAATAACCCTGAGGCAAGTAGATGATCTTCTCCAACTTAGAGATAAAGTAAGCTTGGGCTCCAAAATCAAATGACGTATCCAAGGTAAGTCATTCAGAACCAGGATCTAGAAAACTGGGCTCTCCCTGGATCATAGTGGGACTCCCAGCTCTACAGCCAACCAGAAAATCCACCCGATAAAGTGTCAACTTCAGACCAGAAAATCCTAGTCTGGAGCCTTACTTAGCATGTCTGTCCGAACCAACTAAACAGATTTTCTAGACTGTCGTAATCCTAAGCGCTTTCTGTTAAGAACGGTTAACACTTCTAAATTAATACCAGAACCTTAAAAGTATTTTCTGCACAAGCCATCATAAATCCTTAAGTATTTCCCTCCTTCCTTCCAGGACTTATTAGCAGGCACGTGAAGGACTTCTACCAGATTATGTAGCTATCCCAGCCATTCATGTCCCTCCAAGTGTTCACCCAGTCCACGACCAAAAGGCAAGCGCAGTTTCTTCACATGTCTGTCCATTCCATGTGCCTCCTCCAGGTCTCCTCCTGGTCTCCATCCTGCTTCCTTCCCTCTTCCGTCTCCTCTGCAGCTTCCTCTCTCCCTGCTCAGTTCCACCCTCCATTTGGGTGGGGCAGGGAACCTGGAACCTCCCCCTTTCCTGAGTGGGACCACCCTGTTACACAAGTACCCATTCACTGCCACACCAGCTAAGGGGAAGAAAAGTTAAAAGACAAAGTGGAATGGGATCTTTACAAGTCTGTGCTTGGCTAGAGACAAATTCTAAAGGATCTCCAAGTGGTTTTTAATTTTTTTAATGTAGCACACTTATCTACTCAGTGTAGCTGACTTAAATATGAATCAACAGGTACAGCACACCAAGAGAAGAGCACTGGGAAAGAACTGCTTTTTCTGTTTACTCGCTACATCATCATCATCATCATCATCTTCATCATCATCATCATCTCACAACCTGGCTACGTCTTTTTCAAAGATAAGGCAGCACCTCCTCTCTCCTCCACTGACTGCTGAGATCTGCTGGTGCTCATCACCTGGTAATAAGATGCTTTCCTAGTTATTTCTCTAAAGCAGTTAACAACTCTATTACTATGTAAATGCTTACCCTGACCACATTTCCTATGGCTAGTGGAGGAGCCTGCTACTGAAAAAATTCTAGTTTTTGACTGTGTTTAGATAGAAACACATATGAGGTGTGTGGAGCATAAGGATGAATGTGTAAACAAGGGTTTCAGAGAAGAACTTTCACTCTGTACATTAAGCCTAGAAGCAGAAATCATTTAGATCTCAAGTTGCATGGCAGAAAAGCCTCTTCCTGTCATTCAGGCTCCATCACTGTTATAATATTGATGGTTAAGGGTTGCACTATGGGGTAAGCCTGGAAACTCTTTGCTTCCCTTGCTGGCTGGGCAACAGGCATGTAAGGAGAAGCAAAAACTGCACAAAGACTGCAGTGATTTTCACTAAGAAGCAAGGAAGCCTTCGAAAAAGTGTCTCATTTTCTGCTACGTTTTCAAAAATCTTTTTCCTTTAGCAAGTAATAGTCTTTTTATCTAGAATATATATGCATTCAGAGTATTAAAGAGTTGAAAATGAAGGCTATGTGGAAACAAATGCTGTTTTGTCATGCACATATCAACACCTTCCTGGGTCAGAAATTTTGAATGGATTTTCCATTAACATTCCAAAGGGATAAAAAGTTGATCGTTTTAAAATATTGCCTTCATTTCAGATGCAGCTCTTTGGGGCCCTGGTTGCTGAATTACTTAGGGTTTTTGAGCTGTAAATGAACGTTAGATGGACTATGTAGTTGCCAAGACATTTGTAACTTGATTGTGAAACATTCAAACAAAGATTATCTGGGATTTTTAATGTACTTGACTTTAGCCCATCTTGAGTACACTCTAAATACAGTGACAGAGCAAAGAGATCTTTTTTCAAATGGTGCTTCAGTCAGCCTGTGATGTTTAAAGACTTAGACTAAAACCAAGTGCTGCCTGCCTAGTAATTAACTCTTTTGTTTTTCTTTCTTAATAGTTCAGCCCCTCTTGTTTGAAAAAAACAGAGAGCTAATAGATAGATAGATAGATAGATAGATAGATAGATAGATAGATAGATAGAAAATTACTTTAGTGAGATTAAAAAAGAGGAAGAGAAGAGTGCTAATATTTAATAAGTACCCCCGAGTGCCACATGTTTTACAAATTTATATATGTATATATGTTTATATTACATCATACATACTGTATCAGGGTGGTCCCCAGGAAAGGGGGAGGTTCCAGGTTTCCTGCCCCACCCAAGGGAGGGTGGAGCTGAGCAGGGAGAGAAGAAGCTGCAGAGGAGACTGAGAAGGAAGGAGCACGATGGGGAGCCAGGAGGAGACCTGGAGGAGGCGCATGGAGCCTAGAGACACGTGAAGAAACTACGCTTGCCTTTTGGTCGTGGACTGGGTGACACAGATGTGGGTGAGACCCGTGGGGAGGTGACAAAATGGCAGCTTTTATCTTGATTTTGATTTTGCTCTTTTCCTTCCAGGCTTGTCTGGTTGTTTCTGACCCTTTTCTGTGGGTCCCCACTGGAAGATGCTTTAGACTTGTGGCAGGCTTTGGGGCCTTGCTCTGGGCCAATCCCATTTGGATGGAGTTTTACCCATGAGGGGACGGGTAACTTTGGGTGCTTGATTTAGAAATTCAGATTCTTTGCCTTTCCTGTATTGTTTCCTAATTGTATTAAAGTTCCTTCCCATTAAAGTCTCATGTTTTGTGTTGATGCGGTGGATGGCAGAACCCGATATCGAACAGGCAGGTTTGCGGGGTTTGGGCTGCCCCTCTCCCCGCCCTGTAACAATACTATTTGTAATTTATGTGTAATATAAAATTACATCTTATATGTGTAATTCATACAGTTCACAGAATAATGAAATCAACATCTCCACTGTGTAGATGAGAAAACAAGGTAACTTAGACCATGAAAATTATCTTACACAGGCACACCCCAGAAATATTGGGGTTGGGTTGCATACTACCACACTAAGAGAAATATTGCAACCCAGTGCATATAAAAGTTGCATTGACTATACTGTGGTCTGTTAAGTGTGCAATAGCATTATGTCAAAAAAAATGCCCATACCTTAACTTAAAAGTACTTTTTGGCTAAAAACTGCTAACCATCCTCTGGGCCTTTAGCAAGTGGAGGGTCTTGCTTTGGTGTTGATGGCCGTTGATGGGTCATAGGTCACCCTAACAGATAAAATAATAATGAAAAAGCTTGAGAAATTATGAGAACTACCCAAATATGTCACAGAGACATACAGTGAGCAATTGCTGTTGGAAAAATGGTGCCAACAGATTTGCTCAATGCGGGGGGGCCACAAACCTCCAATTTGTTAAAAAAAAATGCAATGTCTGTGAAGTGCGTTAAAGCAAAGTACAATAAAGGAAGGTGTGCCTGTATTTGGCCTCACACTTCGTTAGTGGAATGCATGGCTTCAGCGTCAGTACTTTATCTACTATACCCTAACTCCACCACATGTACCACCAGAAATAAACTACCTACTGTGTATCATCACCTACAATATGTGAAATGGATGACAAACAATTTGATAATATTGAGCTAAGCAAAGAACAAGTCAGCCAAACTTGCAAATCAAATCTATATGAACATTTCCTTCCTCCCTGGACAATCTCCGTCCAGGAATTTTAAATGTGCTAGTTTTGATAAACAAATAGGAATAAGTGATTCCTTAGCAGTAAGTTGTGGAAACATTGATATAGGAAATTGCCACAATCGGAGGAGAGAAGCATAAACCACAAAGACAGTGTCAAGTTCATTTGCTCTAAAGATGTAAAGAAAATTTCAATTAGGATACAAAATCCTTAAGTTCCCTATCAGAAACACATACACCCACAAAGTAAAATAAAAAAAATTCAAGGTCCAAGTGCTAATTCATGTTCTGTGCAGCTCATGCCATGAGCCAGACCTGCCTGGAAATTCAGGGTATGGGGATCCAGGCTTCCATGCTGAATGTGGGAAACCCAGAGAGTGACCCAAAGTGGAAAGACCTGAAATGCTGCCCAGCCTCAGCTACTCACTAACTAGACGACTCTGGAAATTTCTGGAATATTTTATAAAAGAACAAGTATGATACAAATTTAAAGTGATATTACTTCACTGTTAGGGTGTGAAACATGTCCCCCCAAAAAACACATGTTGAAGTCCTACCTCCTAATTACCTCAGAATGTGACTTTCTGTGGAAAGAGGGTCTTTGCAGATGGACCCTGATCCAACATGACTGGTGTCTATGTAAGAGGAGGAGAGCCAGACATAAGCATAGAAGACAGTGTGTGGACAGAACCAGAGCTGGGAATGATGCATGCTCCCACGCAGGAACACAGGACACCGCGATGGCCAGGAGCTGGAAGAGGGACACAGAATGCGATGTCCCTCAGAAAGAACCAACCCTGCTGATGCCTTGAAGACTTAAGGCCTCCAGAACTGTGAGATGAGAGGAAGCATTTCTGTTGTTTTAAGCCTCCGTTCCCCAGTTTGTGGTCCCTTGTTACATCAACACACCAATAGCAATCTTCCATCTCAATATATACAGGGGAAATTCTCAAGACATGGATCAGGCGAAAACAAATCCTAATTTGCAGAACAGGTGAATAGAATTCTAGGTGAAATCCATAGATCCCTCTAAATCCAACAGCTCTTAACTGGGGGGTGATGCCACCCACAGAAGATACTTGGCAATGTCTGGAGTTATTTGGGGTTGTCACCACTGGGTAAGGGGGAGCTCTAATTGGTAGATATCAGAGATGCTACTCAATCACCTACCTTGTACAGAGCACCACCCAGTAGGACAAAGAATTATCTGCCCCTAAATGCCAACAATGCCGCTGTTGAGAACCCTACTGTAAACTCAAACAGCTCAGAGAATTCTAGAATGATAGGAAAAGAAGAGGTAGAGTCAGAAAGTTCTGGGCACAGGTGCATTCTCTTGCCTCCTAATCTGATAACCTTGTTGAAGCCCACCCCTCACTCCCCCCACCCCTATATCTGTTTTCTCAGACTTGTAAAACAGTGATGATTATATCACAGGCTCGTTCTAAGGATTAAGTCAAAACTCTGAGAGAGGTTTATTTTAAGTAGTCAGCTAAAGCACAAGCCAAATAACAAATAAACCAAGTTTTGCACATTTGGCAGAGGAAGGAAGGAAGGGGGGTGTGTGTGTGTGTATGTGTGTGTGTTGGGGAATAGAGGGAAGCTAGTGGTGACGGTGTGGGCAAAGGGGGGGGCCACAGGCTCTCCATCACCAATGCTCCCGACTTTGTTACAGATGCCAGGAGGTTCCCTACAACCTCTCTGTAGCTAAACTCAAGCTGTGAGTGACCCCCAAGCATAGTGCTTAAATGAGATAAAGCATTCGATATTATTGGATCATGCAGGGCCTCCAGGCTGATCCAATTTCAATACTACCTGTGGGACTGGACCTTGAGGTCCCAGCTCAGCAGCGGCCCTCTCTTTAAGTACCCAGAGACGGCCTCTTAACCTGGCACAGGGCTCCTTGACCAAACCAGAAACCCTCCCCACTATGGCCATGGGACTCACGTTGAATGAAAGGAGCCAGGCACTAAGCAGGGCATGATGTGTGACTCCAGCGCCAGGGATTTCATACACGGACAAGGCCATAGCCGAGGGGGTCAGAGAGTCAGGACACTGGTCACCCTGACAGGGTGGGTGGGTGATTGAGGGTGATTAGACACTGAGAGACTTCAGGGTGTGGTCGTACTTCTTGACCTGGGGAGGTTTCAAATGGATGTAAGTGCTGAGAAAAGTACCTTAGGATTTCTGCGCAAAGCACTAGACTTCAATTAAAAACAATTTAAGTTCAGTTAAAACCACCAACAGGAGAGGCTGTTGGGGGCGGGACTGTCGTGAGCGGGGCTATGTAAGGGGCGGGAACGTTCTGGATGAGGCGGAGCAAAGATTACTCCGCCAGGCCTTGCCGGTGCGCGACGCGAACTACAACTCCCACAATGCCCCGCGCTCCCGTGGCTGGGCTCTGTCGTCGCGAGAAGGCGCTGCCGGGGGCGTCTGCGCGGACAAACGGAAGTGTAGGTGACGGTCCGAGACATCGCCGCCAAGCTGGGAACCGGGGAGATGGCCGAGACCGACCCCAAGACCGTGCAGGATCTCACCTCAGTGGTAAGGGGCGGCTGCGCGGGCCCGAGCCCACGACATTCCCGGACGGCGCCGGCGAGGCCCGCGGGCCGAGGCGTCCCCAGAGCGGCCGCGCGGGCCGGGTCTCCGGAGGCCGGCTTTCTGGAGGCTTCGCCGGCCCGGTTCCCGGCCCCCAGGGCCCCGCCCCCGCCGCTGGGCGTGGGCCGCTCCGCCTGCCGACACCCCCAGACCCCACCCCTAGCCCACTCACCTGTCCCTGACTCCCCACCCCTCAGCTGTCCGCGCACCCCGCCCTCAGCTCCTCTCAGGCCCCGGCCCGGCGTTGTCAGAACCACCAAAGACCCTCCGAATTTTGAGTCCCAGCGGACCCAAACGACAAGGGGCTTCGGCCCCTTGAAAGACGGGGAAACAGCCCGGGAGGGAGAGGGAAATTTCTTGCTGAGGGTCACAGAGCTGCCCAGAGACACAGTATGGGGCTGGAACCCAGGATCCTAGCCTCCTCTGAAGCCTGGGCTCCTCTCCCTGAAGGTGGCCCAGGGCAAGCACGGGGGGTGTGTTTTATCTTGCTTCTTAGGTGCAGACTCTTCTGCAACAGATGCAGGATAAATTTCAGACCATGTCCGACCAGATCATTGGACGAAATATCCTTTTTACTTGTAGTCCGCCTGGTTAAGGGCCTTCAGATCCTTTTTTCTAACTAGCGCTGTAGATAAATGTGTGGCAACTGCAGACATTTTCCAAAAAAACATTTCTGAGTTTGAATGCACACTTCGTGCGTAGAGCTGGGGATAAGGCTGAGCTGTGCAGGTCCCTGGTTGCAAGAAACTTAGTGCCTACCAACAATGTCTAGTGTGATTGGCTGTTGATTGTGAGCCTTGGAGTTTATGTGTATCTCCCCATAACTGAGGAAAAGGTGAAAGTGTTATCTTGATTTTGCAGATGAAGAAATGGAGGCCTACAGTGGCTCCCATTACTTGTGAAAGGCAGGGCTGGAATTTGATACTGCAGGAGAATCTTGTGCTCTCAGCCACCAACAGATAGCAGTTTCCATGGGAGACTGGAAAACTGCTTTCATTGAGACCGTTGGCATTCAGGGCCTGATTGGACAAGGTCCTGGAGGAAGAGGAGGAGGGATGGTGGATGATGGGGTGTGTGCTTGTTCTCTTTAACTTCACCACTTGATGACATGAGTAGTCGCATTGACGACCTGGAGAAAAACATTGCAGACCTCATGACCCAGGCCGGGGTGGAAGAGCTGGAAGGCGAAAACAAGATACCTGCCACACAGAAGAGTTGAAGGTGAGGGAGGGCACTGTACACTTCCAGTGGGTGTGTCTGTCATTTTCACGTGAACCTTCTTCATATCAGTTCCAAGCTGCCATCCCAGTAGGCTTTCCTTTTTTTTTTTTTTTTTTTTTTTTTAAGATTGTTTTATTTATTTATACAAGCACTGGGTACAGTCAGAAGCGTGGGAAGGTGAGAGAATTCACCAGAGCCAGAGCGGGGAACAGAACAGGCAGACTGACGAAATACACTGCTGAGGAGAGCAGCGGATGGCAGGAGAGGTCTGCGCGACATGTGGGACCCTCGCCGGCGGCCGGCAATCAAACCGGCACTGCAGAGGCTGCGGGCAGCTTCGCAACCCAGCGCTCAACTGCTGCACCATAGGGGTGGCCCTGCAGGCTTTCCTTTTATTGTTGCTGCCATGGACTCATGTTTTGAAATTTTTCATGTTCATTGAGTTCATTGTGTAGAATTTGTTTTCCCAGTTCTTTAATTAGACCTATTTCACTCTTAGGTATTTATTTATCCAGTGATTTTTGTCTGTTTATTATAGATAACTCAGACACTCACATGGCCACTTCAAAATGCTCTAAGCTGTAAGGATTCACGGGGGGGCACCCCCTGCACTAGGTAAATGCCAGGACTGACTGATTATGATACAGAGGAACTAGATTATGGCCTTGAAGCCTGCACCCCAGAGTTGATTTCCATTTCTACTGCATAGTCTCAGATGTCAGCAGAAAGACTCAGAAATACTTGTGAGCGATAAGGAATCAGTGCCCAGTTAGCTGCCTTATTCCCACTGCAACAGGGTGGTCCCCAGGAAAGGGGGAGGTTCCCTGCCCCACCCAAGGGAGGGTGGAGCTGAGCAGCAAGAGAAGAAGCTGCAGGAAGAGACGGGGGAAGGAAGCAGGATGGAGCAAGGGGTTTGGGCTGCCCCTCTCCTTGTCCTATAACACCACCACAGTGGGTTTCTTCATAGCACATCTTTTCATGAGTTGTCATGGTTTTCTTACTTCATTGCAAACTTGCAGCATTTTTATTTTTTTTTTTTAATTTATTTATGCATACAAGAGCTGGGGTACAGACCAGAGGTGTGGAGGGTGAGAGGATTCACCAGAGACAGAGCGGGGAACAGACAGGCAGATCCACCGAAGTACACTGCTGAGGGGAGCAGCAAGCGAGTCAGGAGAGGTCTGCTGTGCCATGTGGGTTGCTCCCTGGCGGGCTGGGCCAGGGATCAAACTCATGCTGCAGTTGCTGCAGACAGTTTCACAGACTGTCTTAACCCCTTGTGCCACCAGGGAGGCCCTTTTAGCATTTTTAAACACTTTCTCACATCTCATTTTAGCATCTTTTTATTTTTTTTAGAGGCTACATGCACTGGTACAGTCAGAAGCACGGGAGGGCGAGAGAATTCACCAGAGCCAGTTTCAACGGCTCCTCATTTTTAGCATTTTAATTCCCTATAAAAATTAAGTTTGCTGAGAATTTTTTATTTATTTTTTTTTAAGATTTATTTATTGTATTTATTTATACAAGCACTGGGTACAGTCAGAAGCTCGGGAGGGTGAGAGAATTCACCAGAGACACAGCAGGGAACAGAACAGGCAGACCGATGAAGTACACTGCTGAGGGGAGCAGCGGGCGGCAGGAGAGGTCTGCGTGCCATGTGGGACCCTCCTCCCGGTGGCCGGGGATCAGCTGGGGATCGAACCAGCGCTGCATAAGCTGTGGGCAGCTTCACAACCCAGCGCTCAACCGCTGCGCCACCGGGGAGGCCCATGCTGAGAATTTTTTTAAATGAGAGTATGAAGCAGAAAAAACAGCTAAGGTTACCACATAACTATTTTATTTTCCGGGTATGTCCTGGCCTTGAAGTCCAAGAGAATACAAAGAGGTTTGGGAGGTAAAAGACCTTTAAATTTGCTGTTAACAGTGAATTAGGTTGATTCCCTGTCTTGTTTTTTTCTGTGGGTTCTCATCTTTGTTCCTAAATACAGGTAATTAGGAAAGTGTCCTGCCAGTTTTAGACACTTCTCTGGGTCTCATATTACATGGCAGTCAAAAATCAGGTCAATCAAACTGTCAACTAGAGGAGTTCAAGGTTGGAGACTTAAGTAGCAAAGATAATGCCAAAAAAGGAGTGGGAATCAGAAATAGATTCAGAAGGTTTTTAATAACTACTTCAAATTAAACCTATAGCATTTTTGCTATAATATTCTGCAAAGAAAAGTTTAATTCAGTAGAGGATTCTAAAAGGATTTTTTGGTGATAATTCTGTGATAATTCTATGTGTTATTTTTATTTGTCCTCCCATAATGGAAAATTAATTGATGGTTTTTCCTCTTTCAACAGGTTGCTAATTTACACTGAAATCAGGAACACCATTTTCACAAGCCAAGAGAACACTGAATGGCTATTTGCAACTAACTTCTATGTATCGACAGGTTTTATATTATAAAGTGTACGTTCTTAACATATACTACACAGGTAGTTTATAGTGATTTTTTCACCCTCTCAGTTTCTTGAACATGGTACCTTCACATCTTGGACCTTGGTCAGTTGTGCTGTTAAATATTAAACACTAAAACTTTGGCAGTTCCTGCATAAAATTGTCAAATTTTTTAGTGTATTTTTGTGAAGTCATTTTTTTCTATTGTTCCTTTTGTAGTGGTTACTGTTTGATAAAAGTTGCTGTGGAATTTTTTATTAGACAAAGAGTAGCTCCTTGTAATATTATTAGACTTTGTGAAGTAAGACTTTGTGTGGGGTTCTTTCATTCTCAGCCCTGAGTGACTATTGAACTGACCCCAAATAGTGTTTTGGCGATATTTTTCAAGTGTTTAAAAATATTTCAAAATTCTTCAGAAACACCTGGTACTACTCTGTTGCCAAAACTCAGAATTGAACCTTATTATATGTCTTAATTTCCTGAGTTCAGATGCTGAAGTCACAAAGAATCACCACTGCCATTTAGTGTGTTAGAATTTTTAAATATGGAAAATAACAGAATTGCCTAATGTAATGAGGCATTCATTAGTTAAGAGTTTTGCATGAAGTCAGAATACTTCCATAAGGCCCTGCATTATTCACCTATAATAGTTACCATAGAAAAGCTGGCAGGATTCTAAAACTCAGTTACTCCATCCTTTCTTTGAGCTATGGATTGAGAAAAGAAGCAGGAAAGGGAAACATTTTAAGTTCTTCCCAGTTGCATGGCTAGAAAATGATCAATGATTTGTAGTAGACTCAAGTTTTTAAGAAAGGCTGTTTATTTAAACTATTTCTTACCTAAATTGGTGCAGAGTAAAGATTATATTATTGATTAGAGAGGACAGGGATAATTCTCCTCAGGAGGCTGTGCCTGAGGCCTGTGTTCTGGGCCATTGTCAAGCACGGTGATCTTATATGACAAAAGTGGGCAAGTGGAGAAACAAGGTATAGTGTTTCAGAGAGGGAAACACTCAGTGAACATGGTATGTTCTTTTCACCTTTCCTATAGCCAGCCTTGATTGTTGTTTTACAAATATATAATAATAGTAATAAATAATTCATCCTCATAAATTCTGTGGGGAACACGAAAGTGTAAACTTGGTGGGGGATAGAGTGAATTGACTGCTGTGATTACCAACTACAGAAATTCCCCTTGGGCCAGTAGGCCTGGGAAAGACTGGTCCAGCGCCTCCAGACTGTCACAGACCACAGAAGTCTAGGTGCAGTATGTCTGGGAGCACAGTGAATGTCAGGTGGGAACCGCAGACCCGCTGCTGATGGGAAGGTAGTGGGCAGTTAGATGGAAGTTGGCTTCCTTTAAGTAATGGAAAGATTTCAGAGGCAAGCTCCTCTGCCCCAATGATCTGCCATGAATAAAGGTGCCTGAAATCTTTCTGTTGAAGCTTCCTTTGTGTGGAAAATGATTTGTTTGGTTGTCAGTTACCATTTCAGATTCCTCAGCTAAACCTTGCAGCATATAAATGGCGCAAGGCAAAATGGGGAGGGAAGTAACAAAGAGGCTACTCAGAGGGAGGGTTGGGGAAAGGGGGGTGGGTAGCGGGGGCACCAGCTCCAGGGTGTGGGGTGACCTGTCCTCTCCATGTTCAAGAGGTGAGTCTTTTCCAAGTAGGTTCCCCAGGACACTTGTCCCTAGAGAAGCTCCACAAAAGAAGGGCTATGGCTATTACATTCAGAACACTGCCTAAGCGCTGGAGTCACTTAACACACACAAGGCAAATTAGCAGCTTAAGGGCTTACGTTCCAGAGCAGAGAGATGTGATTTAACTTCTTCCAGAGCAGAGAGATGTGATTTAACTTCTCTCCTACCAATTTTGAAAGTTACTTGGCCTAAGCTCCTATTTTATACTGAACACCTAATTAACATTTCATTTAACTAGTGTAGTGTAAAATCCACACAGGGAGATAGCAGTTAAAGTAATCCAATAAATACTTTGGGTTCAGTTTATAAATCCTGCATAATTGAGTACTCCCTTGACCCATCCCATAAGCCTCCAAGCAGAGCTTTAGCCTGGGGAGGAATAGGCTTGAAGACCCTGGTGAGGCCTCCCATTTGTACCAAAGGATGGTTTTCCTGTATGAAGTGAGAGATGGGGCTGCCTGCTCGGTCACGGTCATCCCCAGTATTCATGACTGGTTTCTCACAGCCACTGTCTCCTGGCCAGTGTCAGCCTTTCTGGACAGCCTGACTTCACGGGAGAAACAGTTACCTTCCCCTCCAACTGGTACCCCCAGAGATGTACCCCCCTCCTGTGACCTCTGCAGAGGGTTGGGCCATGCAAGTGTGGGGATCAGCACCACCCTAATCTAGTTCTGGACATCATTTTTTTATGTAGGAAACCAGTACTGTTCTTAATCTCTAACTTTTTTTTCTTTGTCTGAAAGCTGATGGAAGTCCTGAGGACTGATGCACCCCGTAGAAGGTGCCTGCCCAGGCTCTTATGATTAAATAAATCCCTTGTCTCCCAAGCCCAGAGAACCATCAGCTTATTCAGCCCCTAGTTAGGCCTGACTTCCTTCTAACCACAGGACTTCAGGATATGTTTAATCATATTTTCTTACAAATTTTGTTTTTCTATGGTTTCATTTCCAGTAAAGTACTACTACGTTTGACCCCATCACAACAAATAAAAAATATTTGTGGTAATTAAAGGTCAGTTGGCCTTTGTGAGTCATTGGAATCCTAACCACTTAGAGCTTTCGTTGCTATGGCAACAGAGTCCTCCAGACAATTGACTTAAAAGCTATGTATTTTAACATCCTGTTTGTACATTGAAGGTTTTTTTAAATGGGTGATTATCCTCTTTCTTTTCTCTATTTTCTGTAGTTTATATATTTACAATTAGATTAAAATGGAGAGATTTACACAATCTTGTCAGATCTGGCTCTGAATATGAAATGCACTGGTCAGCCATTAGAGCCAGCACCCATGGGGGCATTTGTCAACATAACTTGGCTGTGCTTGAGGCTTGTGGCCCTTTATCTTGCTTGATTTTTACGCCACCCTCCGCCAGCTTTGTATCTCTAGGTTTGTATCTCCTCAGTGCGGGTTTGAAAACGGAAGGAGCCCAAGGGTGGCGTCAGTGCCCGGAGATCACACCACTGGAAACCGGGACCCCCATCGCCGACCGCATGGCCCAGCTCCACAGCTGTGTTTCATCTACCAGTTTTGAAAGCTAAGATTTCCTCCTTTTTTTTTCCTGTTCTAAAATTAATTTTCTTGAGACATAATTCACATGGAATCTAATTCATCCACTTTAAAGTGTACAATGTAACGGCTTTTGTATATTTACAAAGTTGTCCATAATTTTAGAATTGAGAACATTTTCATTACCCTCCAAAAATAAGCCCCATCACAGACCATTGGTAGCCACCACACACAGGCCCCACAGCTGCTCCCTGCTCCTTGGTGGTAAACCTAGATGTGGACTGACCGTTCCCTACCTCAAAGGCACACTTCGACCTTTAGTGACAAAACATGCACCTTCCCAAGAGGAACAGTTTCCCAGTAATTAAGAATAACCTAAATTCAGGATCAAGCATTTGGAAACACTGAACTGCAAATAGCACAACCCCATAAAAACAAAAAGGGGGCTGCATTATGTCCTGGGGCAAGCAGTCAGGGGGAGAAGGTGGGAAGAGCTTCAGCAGCTACAGAGCGACTGCCTATACCTCCCTTCTTGGTGCATGCCACAGAAAGAGACCATCAGAAGGAAAAAATTTTTCCTAAGGTGTCCCAGCCCCTGTACCCAGGCCTGGTTGCCGAACACAGTCCTGGCAAGTTCGCATCTTTTCTTTGTCACCATGGGGGTGATTCAAGATCAAAGCCAGGTTTCCACTAGAAAGGAAGGGGGTGAATGTGGGGTACACAACCTACCACCTTGGTTCTGTGCCTTTAAGTGAAGCTTCTAGGTCGGAAGCTATTCCCTGGACTGATAGATGAGGAAAGAGCTGGCTCTCAACCTGGGCTGCCCTTAGGCATCTCCTGGGGCATCTGTCAAAACCCCCAGGCCCCTGGGGAGTCATTCCCAGCAGGTGGGCCCCACTGCAGGGCTGGTCTCAGCTTTCTCGGGCAATCCAGGCTGGGAACTGCATTCGTGAGGCCCATCTACTGCTACTCTTCAGTGACTTAGTTCAGCAAGCAAATTAAATGGGCTCCTGCCAGCCTCCTGCCGATCAGCTGACACTCCGACCTACGTGGACGTTGGAGACCAGTGAGTATTATCTGGGAATCAGCTCAATTCATGTGTCACTTTGCTGCCATGACGGGGTAGAGCCCTCACTGCTAAAATAAAAGCATTTCTCACTCGCTGGCAGGGGACATCCTGGGAAGCAGACCAGCCTGGGATGGCCTGACCTTTCTGGCAGCCTGCCCCTTTGCCAGCACCTGCATCCTCTCAGGCACCCTCACAGCACTCCAAAGTTGTTGACATTATCAAAGTTTTGCAGCTGCAATTTTTCTCTCATCAGCCCTCAAAAACCTATTCCTCAACTACACTGTAGCTTTATTACCTCTTACCTTTGATAGGTGTTTTGAAGTTGCTATCAAAACCCAGTGACTGGTTCCAGAAAGAAACTTTAATTACTAAGTATCTTAAAGTAAATGCCTTTTACAATGAAGAAAACCCAGTTAATTTTGATGGGCCATGCGTAGTTCTCAGAAGAGTCATTTCTGGAAATTTAATGATACATTGTCTTGAAAACATAAAGACTAGTGGAACCTATTGATTCTGCTCCAGAATCCCCTTGTGGCAAAAGATGGGCCTGAATTCCTTGTGGAAAAGAAGCCTGGGACTGGGCAGGAATGCTAAGCTGGGAAGGCTGCATAAACAATGTTCTAGAAAGAAATCAGGCTTCCACTTTGGTATATGTGGCTGCTATGAGCAAAACTCAGGAGTCACCTAGTATGATCTGTGGTCCTTGGGCCCTGTAGGGTAAACAATCATCAGGCTTTGCCCTCCCACCATCAGGATTGACGATGGATCCCTGAAGTCCTGAATGTATGCCTGATGGCAGGCACCTGGAGTAGGGTGTTGGCATACATAGGTGGGTTCACCTGGGCTGAGACGGGGCTTATATGGGCCGTGTTGCCACGAAACGGAACTACCAGAAGAAAAAGAGAGAGAGAAGTAGAGCCCAGAAAGAGTAAAGACTCGCGGGGGCTGGGAGGCCTGCCAGCCTCCCAGCTCCCCGGCAAACCTGCCTGCTGTGAAACCTGGTAAACTCAATAAAAGCCTGAAAAAGCCACAAAGGCCTCCAGGACTCTCCAAGATCCTGCTCTATGCCATCCAGCTGCTTCAGGCCCATAACCTAGTACCTTAAAGGGAAAGAGTCTTTTGAAACCAAGTCTTACTGTCTTGCAGCAGAATTTTAAAAAGGCTTCCAAGCACCACAGGTCAGTGCCAGGGTCAAAGAGTCCTCATTCCAATGGCCAGACCTTCCATTAGAATCCTTCGAAAGGCTGCCAGCCACACAGAAAGGAAATACGGAAAGAGTCCCAGCCATTCCACTTCTCTGACCCCTTGAGTCAGTCTCAATTTCTCAAGTTCAGGCACTGCTTACCAGTGATCCTTGACCCAACTTCGTCTCCCCTATAATGAAAGGCAGGACCCCACGGGACCCCCTGGCACAGGCGAGCCAGGCTTTCCAGAATCACTGACACAGAAAATTTTCCTCGCCATGAACTCTGCCAGACATTTCTTATATTTATCCACGCTAATCTGTACTTCAGGGCAATTCTGGACAAGATTTGTGGGTAATGATTTAGCAGTAACTATCTGGCAAGTTCTGAACTTCTTTTTGTACTCACTAACAATCAACTGGGTAAAAATTCTTTAAAGTGAAATTGATGTAATTTGGCTGGTCCAGTGCCTTATTTAACACCATTGAAATGTCAAACGTTTCCTCCCTGGGGAAATAATGACAGTCCTCTCCTGGATCTTATAACTGCTCCTTCGGATGTCCCTGTACTTGGTCTTGGTTCTGAGAGGCCGGCACAGACCACTGGCCAGAATCACCGAGGCTCCAGCAACATCCATTCCTCTGCATTCTACTGTTTCTGTGTGCCATATTTTGCCCTGAAAACTGGCATTTGTTCTGCTTTGGATTTAAACAAAACCTACAACTAGAAAATCTTGTTACTGCCGCAGTGGCTCATTAAATGTGCCCCCCCCCCCAACTCCCCATGCCAGCCCCTGAGCATCCTCTGGGAATGTGTCAGCCATGCCCATTCCCAGGCCCTGCCAGCACCACTGAATCAGCAGAAGGGACCCAGCACCCTCCATGGTATTCTGATCTCAGATGTGACAGCCGGGGCTTTTGTGTGTCACCTTGATTGTCCAATAGTCTGGGAGGTCAGCCTAGTCTGAACATAAGCCACCCCTAGGGCTTGGATTGACGTGCACATTCCCAGGGCTCTTTTTAGATGCTGACACAGTATATATGGGGGGGAGGGGTTATGTTTTTAATCAACTCTGCAGTTTATTATTTTATATATTACTTTGCAGGAAAACACTGGAGAGAAAACTGAGATAGCTGGAAGATATCTCCCACTGAGTCACTGCAGCCTGGGTCAGTCCTAAGGTAATTTAAAAGGAATTGATTGTTAATTGCCTAGAACATCTGAGCACTGAGCTCGGGCTTGACCTTTCCAGCCCCGTGAAATGAGGAGGTGACCCTCCAGCCCAAGGAGCTGAGCCTGAAGAGTCTTCCCGCCATGAAAACTTGAATCACTTTAAATCAATTTGCCTTTTAATAAAATGTACTTCAATAAGAAATCATTTCAACTCTTCAGCCACAAAAGGCTATCCAATCATTTAAAGCTTCCTGAGTATTTCAGTTGATTAAAAAGGTTTTAAAGAGCACAGTAAATATTTTACCAAAAGGATAAGTTATTCAATAAGGAGATTATTTATTAAAAACTAGTAATTTATTAGTTCATTTCTCTTTATTTTCATGGAAGTGCATTCTTTTCATCTGGGCAGTTTTTTTCTATTCCCACACCCGGTTAAGCTGTGAGTTGATGATTCTGTAATGCATAAATGTCCTGAGATGTAATTTAACTTCTGAAGGGAAGATTTTACTAATAACAAGAAGATAACTGTAAAATCACATTTTAAAAGAACTTTTATAGGGTTTTAAGCACAGTTTTGTGTACTTAAAACGCAATCGTGTTTGCCAGTTTGAGGAAAAAAACCAGTTTCTCATTTATCTTTTGAGTCTTCCTTCCTCAGGGAAATAACAATGCGGAACTTGTTTCTCTTCTCAGCAGGAGACGGGAGCCGCTCACCCCCGCGTGTCCTTCCTCCTGCAGCAGCTGGCTTCTGCACTGTCACCGCACCCAAAAATCCAGGCACTAGTTGCAAGTACTTAAGGTATTTTATTTTGATGATTAAAAAAGAAAAAAATAGGATACTTTTAGCTGCAAGCAATGACTATAAATGGCTTTGACCAAGAGGGACAGTGGTGATCTCACACAGGGAAGAGTCCAGAAAAGGCCATCCTGGGAGGTTTATTAGACTTGTCTGATGGGGTTTTTGGAGTCAGTGGGTTTGGAGCGCAGGGTCGTTGGGTTCACTCTGGGAAAGGTTTCACCAGAGCTCCTGTTTCAGCAGCATGCAGCAAGTTTCCAGGGCAAGTTTCTCCATGAGACAGAGACCGTAGTTATGTTTAAAGAGCAGGTTTATTAGGGAAAGGGATGAACGAGTAAAAGACATTTGCACAGACATAAGCAGGCAGTAAGAGCTGCCCCGCAAGGGATAGGTTTGCTGAGAGAGGCCTGCATGGTTGCAGGCGGGCAGCCTTGAGGGGAGCAGCCTCCACTGAGGGAGGTCAGTGAAGAGAAGCCCCGGCAGGTACAGGTCACGGGCAGGCAGGAAGCTACTGCCCTGCGGAGGGAGAGAGTTGGTGAAAGGAAGCACCTGCATAGTCACAGGTGGGCAGACGGAGTGCTGTCCCGTGCCAGTGCAGAGATTGCACTTATGTAGTCTTTTTCTCTTTGGGAGGGGCTCACTCCTTTATGGAGTGATCTGTTTGCTGCAGATTTTGCATAACAATGAGAATCCAGACGGGAGATTCCAGGATAGGGACTGGAGGTTCCAGGATGGGCCCAATCTCTATATCTTTACCCTCAGGTCAGTGCTCCGGATACTCCCTACAGCATCTGACACCTGCTTGGGTCTTAAGCCTTGTGATAAGGCACTGGCACCTAAGGATCTTGATTGTTGTAGCTGGGTTAATGGTCATGTTAATGCCCTCTACCCCCACCTCCTTGTGTGTATCAGGTTTTAGTCTTGTGAGGCCTCCTTTAGGTTTTTTATTCTCTCCTCCATCATGTCCACCTTGTCCTGACTCCAGGCCACCTGCTTTTTGCTGCTCGTGCCTTTCCCTCATCATGACACAAATGTCCAAGTGTCCCAGCAGGAAGCAGCCAATACTCTATGTCTGTCTGCTCCTCTCTACCTGACATTCTCCTCTCTGTGTCTGTGTCCACATCTCCCCCTCTTACAGGGACACGGTCACAAACACTCCAGGCTGCCTCCCTCTTGCTCAGGACCTTCCATTTGTCCCAGAGCTTCTAACACCTCTCTTCATAGTCCTAACTACTTCCTTCAGATTACCTCTGAGTGACCAGCTTAGCATCTTACAGCCATCTTCTAAAAAAGAAAGCATAACTGGAATATCAAGGGTTGATTTGATTTAGAGAAATTAAGATTTTTTTTTTTACAAGCAAGTAAATTGGCAATTAAATTAGATCTAAAATTCATTTGAGGCTCCTGACAATGTGTTTGCAGGAAGTAATTGCTTTGGGGCTGGCAACTTCAGTAATCAAAGAGAAGCTTAAGAAAAACTGAGCCTCGCGAAAGAAAAAGGGAAATAATAAATTTGAATTAGGAGTTCATATTCACCAACATTTTATTATGAAAATTTTCATAAGGCAAAGCATGTGTATGTATAGGCAGCACTAGGAATTGACCACGTACCTGTCCTAGCTCTGTCCCATCTCTGCTCTCTATCTACACCCTCTTCTCTACCTGAGCATTCATGTTTTAATTGGATGGTGATCAAGTTCTTCAGGGCTCTTTGTTGGAAAGGTGCAAGTTCATCTGCCCCCTGAGATAAAGGCCACCCTCAGTGTGACCCCCCTGGTCACACTGAGCCCCTTTCTGCCACAGCCATGGCGCTCTCCATTGGAGAGTTGTCCTGGAGAATACAAGCGTGGATTTTAGAAAGAGCCTGGGGCAGGTGAGAGGACGGTGAGTTTGGTATGGTGAAGGCCCTATTCTAGCAGAATGGACCATGTCATTTGCGGGCCTTGTACGAAATGAAATGGGAGACCTTTTGTCCAAAAGCTAGTAAGAATTAAAGATGGTAATAGCAGAGCACTAATGGGAATTAGGGGTGGGGGGCTGAGCACAAAGCCTTATGTGCAGGTCACAGGCCCCTAATGGGCCCTGTCTACCCGTTGGAGTGCTCACCTACTTGAGAATGTCACTTGACTCCCCTCCAGATGGCACAGATCACAAGATCATGACTGCGCAATGCCTAGTGGGGGGTTAGTGCCATTTAGTGAGTGAGAGGAAGGGGAGAGAAGAGGGGAAGGGAGAAAGACTCACCATCCAGTGTGTGTGAAGACCCCTCTCCACCACAAGTTGAAAGATGAAAGCCAACAGGGTTGCGTGGTCTCCTGCCTCTGCTTAAGAGACCCCCCCAGAGCACCCACTTGGCCAGCAGAGTGCAGCATTGCACAGCTAAGGCCCCAGGCAACCCACAAGTCCCCAAACTCAAGAGAATGACTGAGCAAGATGGTATGGCAGGCAGGGAGCCTGTGTACTTTACTCCTAATTCTCAAAACTAAAGCAAATGAAGCCCCAAGAAGTAATGCCAACCAGTGACCTTCACAGGAGACTAGGATAAAAAGCCAATTGAAGCAAAAGACATGTGACCTGCATGCATTAGAGGCAGGATGAAGTGCTGGCTTTTCCTGGGACCTGTAACAAATCCCCCACTCTCTCCCCAAAATCAGCACCCTGCCTTGCTTTCCCAGGACTGATTTGGCACTTCCCACATAGGACTTCCCAGGATACACACAAAGACCAGATGGATAGGCATTCTTGCATGTTCCTTTCTTTGTAAGCAGAGAAGTAAATAACACAGTGCGAGCTATTTCTAGGATGTGCTGATCCCTTCCAGCCAGGGTCTTTGCATGTGCTGTGTCTTTGATCAGAAATGCTATTCTGCTCCACTCCTTCCTTGGCTGACACACCGTTACATCTCAGCTCAAACATCACATCATCAGCCCTTTTCAGATCTTGCAGCCCTTGCCTGGCACCCTTGTGAATGGTTCCTGTGAACCTGTCCTTATCTCTCAGAGCTGCCATCATGGAGTACACGCATGCCTGTGTGATCAACTGATCAAAGTGTTTCTCCCACACTGTTCCGTAAGCACCCAAGGGGCAGAAACTATTTGTTGTGCTCACCAGTGAGTCTCTGGTATCCTGGACATTGCCTGGCACACGCCCCCAGATAGGCATTTGTTGAATGAATGAGCAAACTTGCTCAAAATCACGCAGCTAGGAAGAGGCAGGACTGGCATTCAGCCCAGATCACCTGACCCCTAAGAAAGTCCACCTCCCACTTTATTCTGTCAAATATGAGCAAATGTCAGTTACAAACAGGATAAAAGAACCCATTTTTTTTTCAATGCTAAAACTTCCTGCCATGTTACCATGTCATGTTTTTTTTTAACCCATACAAAATACATGAGTATAACCCCTCAGAGACACACCCAGTTTCTGTGCTCTTGGCCTCAAAAGCATTAATAAATAAAAAACACTATAACAAATAGATGAACCAGACAAAGCAGGTATTGAAAACCAGGGGTGGGGAGAAGCAGGCTGTAAGACTCTAGAGCCACAGGGGCACAAAGGCTTCTACAGGTCACCTTGCCCCCGTCACTGCTCTAAAGGGAGCAGAAAGGAGAGGCACAAAGATTATGTGGTCTGCCCCAAAACACACAGCTAGTTAGTCCAATGCAAATGTATTTCCAGACATACACTCCTTCCAGCTTGTGTCTGCAGCCAAAGGCTATAGTTGATGCCTGTTGGGCAGCTCAGAGAGATGCCTGCTCAGTTAAGCCCTACACAGGTATGCCACCTCTCTGCTCCCCATCCACAGGAAGGACAGTAGATATCCATTGTGGCCTTATTTGGGTTCGCCCACAAGCAGCCCCTGACTGAGGATCCTGGTGTATGTATAAGAGGTGAAAGAAACACTTCTCAGGGAATTGGAAAGTGAGGCAGAGGCAGGAGAGCAGCTAATGAAGGACAGGATGTCTCACAGCTGCACAGCACTGCAGGTGCTGATCTCCGGCCAGGCGGGTTCCCCCAGTGCCCACAATGGAGAGGAAGTTACTGTATCGAGCACAGCTGTGTCCCCCAAAAGGTTTGGGAATTCCTAAATGGACTACCTCCGAGAGTGACCTCATTTGGAAATACCTGAAAGAGGCAGGATTCCCCAGGTTTCCTGGAAGTAGAAAAGTTTCTACAAGGGATGATTTGGTACAGGCTTTTTTTGATTCGAGAATGCTCCCTTTTTTCCATGTAAATGAATGGGGACAGCATTCTCCCCGTTCGCTAGTGTTTGTCAGTTATCATGGGCGTATCATGCTTTACTCTATAATCAGTCCCATGGCCTGTGTCCCCACCCTTCCTGCTCTTTGCGCTGGGTATCAGAAGAGCAGGGACTAGCCAGGCGGGGAAGCCAAGAAAGCGTTTAGTACCAGGTCCCTCCAGGACCCAGAGGTCATATTTTAAAGGTGCACCCTCTCGGTGAACTCTGCTCCACTCGACCGGGCCTCGGGGAGACCTGGCCCCTGCTCGAAGGGCAGCCCAAGGCCACAGACGCAAGCAACAGACCACCAGGAACAGCCTGGTGGGCGGGTTAGCGCCCCTTCACTCCCTGCAGCGTGGGCGTGGTCACGTGACAGGGGGCTGGTTCCTCGTGGTGGGTGCCGCATTTCCCACTTTAGCCACCAGCCGGGGGCACATGATGTGCTTCAACCAATGGGAAGTGAGGGGTGGCCAACCCAGTTGGGCCACGTGACATGCTTCGGCCAATGGGAGCGAGTGAGCCCGGCTTCCGCCTCTTTGGTGCTGCGCGATTCCCACGCACTTGGGCTGAGCAAGCCTCGCCAGACCCGCGGCGCCGAGCGCCTGCAGGTGAGTACACGGCCGTCCTCTCCTTGGCCGCTGACCCCTAGAACCCCCGCTAGGAATCCCCCTGGCTGCGGGAGGAGCTTGCTGGGGTACCCCTGGCCACGCAGCCCCCGGTCCCATGACAGCCCCTTCCCTGAATATTCCCGGCTCCGAGGTGGCCCAGCGGAGCTGCTGTCAGGTGCTGGTAAGGGCTGGAAAGGGGCACAATTCCTTTCTGGGAAATAATGGGCACCTTTTGCAGCCTTCTTTCTCCTTTGTGGGACGCCTGGGGATGAGGTAGGCGAAGCCATTGTATTCACAGGGCAGCAAGACTTAGGTGCCAATGAACTTCCCGGAGCATAGATGCCTACTGGAGACTTGCAGGAAAATGATTTTCTGTTTTTTTTTGTTTAAGTATTTATGCATATAAGAGCTGGGGTGTAGGTCAGAGGTGTGGGGGGGGGTTGAGAGATTCGCCTGAGACAGAGTGGGGAGCAGAACAGGCGGATCGACTGAAATACACTGCTGAGGGGAGCAGCGGGCGGCAGGAGAGGTCTGCTGAGCCATGTGGGTCACCTCCCTGGCCGGAGATAGAACTCATGTTGCAATGGCTGCATATTATTTCCTAGTGCTGCGACTTAACCCCTTTTGCCACCAGGGAGGTCTGGAAAATGGTTTTGATTCCAAGAGACAAAAGGGAAATTGCAAAGATCAACATTTTTCAAGAAGTGTCTATGAAATGTATCATCCTGCCAGCTTTGTAAGGGGACAGATGGCATTCATGGGTTGTGACTGTGCCGGACAGTAGGCTGCAGCTTTTGTTTCTTGTAGTCAGGATTACCACGAATGTGAGACATACTGCCAGCCGATGACTGAGTTACTTATGGTGAAATCATTTAATTAGGACCTCCATGCATGGCCAAACAGATGGGGGTGTTTTTCTCGCCACCAGAAGCCTGGAAGGAGGGCAGATTCTGCTCTTGTATATTTGGCTAGGACAGTCACATATCTCAGCTAAATATGGACAAAGAGGGTGGGATTGGCTTTACTTGTGTAGCAAAACACTCTGTGCCAAGTGTCATCCTAAGCACTTCACAATGCTTGAATTCCTCTGGCAGCCCTGTAAGATGGGTAATTATTATGCACTTGACTACAGATGAGAAAAGGAGAGTCCAGAGAGGTTAGGTTAGTTGGTCAGGGTTGCACAGCTTGTAAGTGGAAAGCTGGGATTTTAGTCCAAGCCGCCGACTCCAGAATTGAAGCCACAGTTAGCTGCCTCTTGGCACCCTTGGATGATGTGGTCTCTCCCGCCGCCAGGGGTGAGGGCCGCTTCTCCCAAGGGTGCCTGGTGACTGCTTCAGTACTCGATAGATGCTGGAGTGAAATAGAACCAGGAGTGGGTACCTTCAGCAGCCCCTCACCCTGTCTCCCTCCACCCCTGGGGCTGTGTCTGCATGAAGACGCCAGCTCAAACCCCGCCCTACTCCTGCCTCACCTCTGTAACCCTGCTCTTCCCCTCTGCCCTTTCCTCTCACTTTCTACTTCTCGCTCTCTGATTCAGGTTATAAAATGACTTTGCAATGTCAGCCATAAATAGATTACGCGAAGAAAATCTTTTGTTTAAACAGAAATTCTAATTTTCCAAAAGGTGGTGAATAAACAGCCAGGAAGGCATTAGAGATCAGCAAATCTTGTTTGCGTAAAATCATGCTTTAATTTCTCTATAGGAGCAGAAAATAGCCACTCTGATGTCCTTGCCAGAGCCTGTTTGTGTCAAAGGGTTGGTCTCAGTGTTTCAATTTGCAGTGCTCAGAAAACATCCCATCCCAATGGGAAGTCACGGCTAATCGGAGGGAGCTGTTGTGGGCCTGGCCTGCTGCCAAGTGGCTTCTTCCTCTCGAATGCTCTGCCCCTTCCTCCACATGGAAGCCATTTCAAGGGTGAATAGTAAGTAACCTCTACCAAGGAGAAAAGGCGCCAGGGCCCAGGTTCGGGAGGACGGGGCCCCAGGCTCAGAAAAGCCTGGGTGGTTGAGGGTTCGCTGTTGTGGAAAGCGAGTGTTCTTTTCAGCACCTCTCCCAGCAGCATCTGCTGACTCCTGCCCAGTGATGTCTGATGTCGCAGTAGCCGCAGGGCCACAGGCAGGATGGGGGAGTTTACTGTACGGAGACAGGCAGGTGTGGCAGAGGCAAGAGTTCCAGCGAGCAGTGCTGCGGACCCCTAGTACCCCGGCACAGCTGTTGCAGTGCCTCTGCTGTGTGCTCAGGGGCCCGGAGAGCCCGCGGCCGGAAGCCGTGTGGTGTGGTGATGTTCCGGCCTTGCCTGGGAAGGCGAGGAGGCTGCGAGCCGCGTGTCCGTGTGCTGGTGGCTGGCACTGGCGGGTGGCTGGGAGTGTCACCACACGATGTGTGGCCACTGCCTGTGATGCCCCACTGCAGCAAGGGTGACTGCTACCACCTGAAATCCATCAGCTGCATCTGTCCCGAGACCACACTTGCCAGGGGGGCCCAGCCAGTGCTGGAGCAGGCGTTAGACACCAAGGCAGCCCCGCGCCATGCCATCCATCCTGGGAGGAACACCTGGTGCTCTTGATGGGTGACCCTGCCAGTCCTCCCAACCACAGTGGGGGAGCACACCCTCTGTTTACAATTTCAATGTAAAAGATTCCAATCATATGATTGGAAAACCAATCATGAAAAGTCATTTTCTAGGGTTTTCTCCTGGTGCAGAGAAGGATAACACCACAGCTGTGCTTGCCCTGTTGGGGGGACCAGGCACCCGTGCATTTCCTGGACAAGCAGTGATGGCACCTTGCATGAGCAGAAGGCAGTGAGAGACGTGGGGGACGTGGTGTGTATTTGAAAGGTGAGATTTACTGATAGACTTTCTGATGGATTGGATAGTTTGGGCCAAGAGAGAAATATGTTGTATTGGTTAAATATCACATGGATGTTTTCTTAAATTCAATTTCCTGGAATCACACCCCCAAAATCAGCACCGAAAACACTATTCTCTTCTAAATGTGAGCCTGCAGAGGGGGTGTTCCCCTTGTCCACAAATAATGGGATGTGATGTTCTCATGTTCCATGAGAACAGAGACCAGCTCACCAGGGATGTGTTCTGTCCTCACCACCGGGTAGGAGAAGGGATGCTCGTGGGCGGAGATGTCTGCACCCGTTGAAGAATAACAGCCACCACCCCACGCGTGAGAGCAAGCAAGTGTGGGTTTATTGAAGCAAGAGGAAAGACCCCCTGACAGCAGGAGGGGATCCCAGGGAGATCCCCGTTTACTCCAGCCCTGTCCATGACCACATCCTGTCAGACTTCCTGTCATCCAATGTGCTGGACTATCGATTAGGCACTGGGTGGTCGGGAGGTTTCGTGGTGTTTGTTTTTCTGTTCCCTAATTATCCTGTAACTGGATCTTACTCGGGGTGGTGGCTAGCTCAGCCACATTTCAGTGAAGCACTTCTGTTTTCCTGGGAGCTCTTTTGTGCCTTCAGTTCCTGTATTGTTTAAAATCACTGTCCGTGTCTCAGCCTTTCCCGTTCCCGAGTCCTCCTGGTCTCAGTCCCTTTCACAATGACTCCATCTAATATTCCCGTCCTGAGCCCTTAGAATCAACTCAGCCCAATTTGGAAGACTTTTTTTTTTTTTTTTGGAAGACTTTAAAGAAAAAAAAATGTATTCAGTCAGTTCCATATTTAATAAAACTAGGCCACTTAAGCCTTCAGCTTGATTAGATTTAAAGTATAAATGTCTAGGTAGAAAGTAAAACATAATGGCTTTTATTAAGCCAGCTCCAGTCAGAAGCGGGTTTGGATTTCATGTGGTGGCATCTGCGCTTCCTGCTGACTCATTCTTTTCATAAACAACTTCTGAAATGCCTTCATTTACTAACAAGGGTATTAGGCCCTCTCTGGATGAGTACAAGGAGTGGAGCATGAGCCCATTTAATCAGCTCAGAAGGAAAGGTGACCTGCCCTTTTGTGTTATTCTCCCGAAAGGAATTCTGTCATGAGGCAGCCCTGGACCAGTCTTGGGCTCCTGTCCATGCCGCTGATCCTGACCCCGGCCAGGGAAGCACTTGAGATTGCCCCAGGCCACCGCTGACATCCTTCAGAGCCAGACGTTTTCTTTACACCTTTGGCTTCATTTTGAGGCAATTTAACCCTCATTTTATCCACAAACTTTGAAAGGAAACTGGGCAATTTCCCACAGTACATTAGTCCTGAAATGTGAGCTCGTGTCTCAGAAACCGACCACTTTAAAATTGATAAGGGCTGAGCAGATAATTAGGGCAATCCCAATGCAGACTAACTCAAGGAAGATGGGGGTTTTGGTTTTTTTAGTGTGGTTTTTTATTGTTGAGTTAGTTGGCGGGAGGGTACCTTCCAGATTAACAGTTTAAATGATTGGGGAGATCTAGTATTGACAGGGGGGTGGATGCTTTTATAATATGTTATACAAATGGGTCCAGTTTTTTAAAAAAAGATTTATTTATGCATATAAGAACTGGACAAATGGGTCCAGTTTTTTTAAAAAAAGATTTATGCATATAAGAACTGGGGTACAGGCCAGAGGTGCAGGGATTCACCAGAGAGAGTGGGGAGCAGAACAGGCAGATCTACTAAAACACACTGCTGAGGGGAACAGCGGCCGAGGCAGGAGAGGTCTGCCATGCCATGTGGGTTGCTCCCTGGCCAGCCGGGGATTGAATTCATGCTGTAGTGGCTGGTGATAGCTTGATAGTGCTGTCTTTAACCCCTGTGCCACCAGGGAGGCCCCAGTGGGTCCAGTCTTATTGGGAGACATTGTAACTGTAACTATTAATATGTTTAGAATGTAACAGTTTCATTCCTAGCTAGTAGAAGGAAGAAAATCTTATTAAAGGAAGACAAAAGAAAAGATTTTCTAGTAGCATTGGTTGCAGTGGGAGAATATTATAAAATCCATGAAGATTTCACTCACCAATAGTGCATATACATTCACAAAGAATGAGCTGGACAGTCGGTACTGGTGATCCGCAAGAGGTGTCGTTGAGGGGGAGACATGGTAAAAAATGGGTCCAGTTTGAATTGAGGTTGGATAACACCCTCCAATTCCTTGGCTGTTTGTTTTAGGTAGTTCCTCAGTGAGGAACTTGCTCATATGATTTCTTTTCAAATTGCCTTCTTGGTGTTTGAAACAGTGGACCTCTCGCAGCATCTGGGCATGGCCTCCCTGAGGCCAGGTGAATGAGTGTCCCTCGGTGCTCTTGAGGACAGCCCCCTCGGTGCCCAGCAGGGCAATGTCACTGCCCAGACTTCACTCCAGTGTCAGCACCGGCCTCCTCTTCCTCTCATCCTTCCCTCTCCACTTCCTCCCTACTTCCTGTCCCTTGAACACCCCTGCTGTGTTGGCACCTCCCGTGACCCCCAACCCGTAGGACTAGTCACCTGGGACACATGCCCGGTGTTGCCATACACACCTTCACACTCAACGCCACTGACGTAGGACTCAGAAATAGTCCTCATTGGGCCTCCCCGGCGGTGCAGCGGTTGAGCACTGGGCTGTGAAGCTGCCCGTAGCCTCTGCAGCGCTGGTTCGATCCCCGGCCGCCGGGTGAGGGTCCCACATGGCGCACAGACCTCTCCTGCCGCCCGCTGCTCCCCTCAGCAGTGTACTTCGTCACTCTGTCTGTTCTGCTCCCCTCTCTGGCTCTGGTGAATTTTCTCACCCTCCCGCGCTTCTGACTGTACCCAGTGCTTGTATAAATAAATAAATAAATCTTTAAAAAAAGAAATAGTCCTCATCTGCAGAAACAGTGTGAGCAGGCTCAGTAGAGATGGTCTGGACTGGCCCGTGTCTCCTTTACTTGCCATCCGTCTCTCCTAGAACCACGGCTCTTCCACAGCCCCTTTGTGCTTCTGTTTCTTGATGTTACAAATAGGGGCCGTGGTGCTGTTGTCACTAGTTGTTGAGGCCAGTCCTCCAGCTTCAAGGCAGGGACCCAGCCTGCCTTCATTAAGGGAAATTGCAAGTGGGGCCCCAGCTTCCTGTGTCCTGGCTGGTGGTCCCTTCAAGTGTGATGTTGCCCTCCTCCCACGCACACATGGAGCCCTGGTTCATGTCCCTTGAGTCTGGCCTGGCGTCCACTTGCTCAGAGGATAAGTAACACAGAAAGGACCCCCCAACTAGTCCCCCAAGTGAGGCTGTAAAGTCTCTGACTCCAATTCTGGCCGAATGCTACCCTCTGCCAAAACCAGTCTGACTTACTTAGTGTAACCTATCCTTCTCCTGGAGGGTACTCAGACACCCCTCTGACCTCTATCCCTGACCCCCGTGAATGTAGCTGACCCTCTCTGAATACAGCCACAAGGACAAGCCTAGTGAGGCCAGCAGAATCACCCTCCAGCGCACCAATCATGAGTGAGAAAATTGGTCTTTCAAACCGAGTTTCAATGCTAAATATTGGGGTGACTTGCCCAGCCAGCACTCCCTGACACATTCACCATCATTTCCTGCCTGCCTAATATAAGGCTGACACTAGTAAAGGCTCCATAAATTTTTGTTGCATGAATGAGTCCATGAGCAAAAGAAAAAATTGATGAATAAATGAATGTGAATGAAGAAAAATTTGAGGGATGCAACCTTTTTGGTCCGTGGGACAGATTGATTTCACAGAGTAGGGGCAGCATGCTACAAACACAGGCTCTTTAATTGTTGATTTCATAGACGATGTGCTTAGACAGAGAAATGTGATCAGACGTTGTAATCTCCTAATCGCATTAGAACAACTTGTCATGTCTTTTCTGCGGATTGTAAAAGAACATCCAAATTTCCCATCCAGGTCCCCTGACTGCTTTAAAAACTAAACCATCCATTAATGCATTTCGGGAAATGACACTCAAATTGGTTATCTCAGTTATTAGCGAGGTTGATACTTCCCCCTCCCTCCACCACAGATAAAAGTACCGTTTGGGAACATGGACCGCCATTTGAACCCTAAGGAATTCTTTAGTTTATCTGCATCGTGTATAACAGAAATCTTAATTTTCCACTGGTATTAAGTTCTTACTCCCGAGGCAAAACCAGAAGGCAAAAAAGCTTCAAAGCCGTTGAATTGTGTTCGTGTCTTCTCGGATTTCAGCTGTTAGATGAGCTGAGGAGAGAAAGCAGATTAATTGATTCAAGTGTCACAATTGTAATTATCTAATTTGCTTTACTCCCCAGATTTTCAATATTTTAAATTCAGTCAATAGTTAAGTTTTGAGGATTTATATGTAAGTCAGAAACATTTGGTTAATCAGCTACCATAAAACCTAGTTTTCTTTTTTAAAAAGATTTCCTGAGGCGAATGGGGACGGCAGAATGAAGGAACAATAAATGGGCCAATTTTCTCGTTTTTCATGTCAGAAGGTCAATAAATACCATCTCTAGTTAAAACATAGGATCTAAGGAAAAGTTAATGACTTCAGCTTCTGTATTTATAATCCTTTTTTCCACTTTTCAGGGATATGAAACGTGTGTGTGTGTCTGTGTGTGTGTGTGTGTGTGTGTGTGTCTCCAATGGTTGGTAGTTTCCTTACTTGAACTTCAGATTTTTTTATTTTCAAACCTAAGTAAAATCAAATGCTTTCTCATTTAAAAGTAGTCTGTATAGTAAAATTCCTATTTTCAACAAAACAGATTATTGGGTTTTGTATGCATGTAATGGAGACCAGTTTCCGATAAAGGTGACCCTTCAAGGGAGTTGCACTTTCATACATTGTTCGATTTTTCACCAGCATAACTATGTATCATTTTATAAAAAATTTAAAGTTATTGTGGGGGGTAAAAAAAGAACCAACAACTAAAATTTTTTTCCTCATTTCTTCCAAGTTACACCTCTGCCTCAAGGCCTCTGGCCTTAAAAGCATAGAGCTAAGGGCACATAGGGGCCAGGGGAGAAGAAACCAGCCCAAGGGTGAGAAGGTAAGAAGTGGAAGACAGGACAGAAGAGCGTCTCCTTTTTTTTTTTTTTTAAGATTTATTTATTTATGCATACAAGAGCTGGGATACAGGCCAGAGGTGTGGGAGGGTGAGCAGATTCACCAGAGACAGAGTGGGGAACAGAACAGGCAGACTGACCGAAGTACACTGCTGAGGGGAGCAGCGGGTGAGTCAGAAGAGGTCTGCTGTGCCATGTGGGTTGCTCCCTGGCTGGCTGGGGATCAAACTCATGCTGCAGAGGCTGCAGATAGCTTCATAGGTGGCGTTTCCACCCCTGGCGCCACCAGGGAGGCCCCAGAAGAGCTTCTCCTTTATCAGAAGACTGGGGGGGGGAGTGAGAGGACACAAAACAGACCCTGCAAAAGTCAAGGGCACAGAGTTTTCCAAAAAGGGGGACTTAGAGGGTCCTCCACCCTCCAGTGGGTTCCACTTAGTGTACATTGGACATCTCTGAATCACAGGGAAATGGAAATTCCAAGACACTACCAGAGAGCTCCCACAGGGCTTTGCATTCCTAGTATCTCTCTATATCAAATGCAACGTCAAGAAACATCCGGAGACTCCCTGTGCCTGGGAATCTTCCCTCGCTGGGCCTTCCTCTGTTCCCAGGCCTTATAGAGACCACCAGAAAGACCTCCAGCTTTTCTAGGTGCTTCCTGTGGTTTTTGGTGTTCTCCCTGGTACAGGCATTGTGGGTTCTTGGTAAAAGGGAACTGTAACTTCCTGTCTGTGAAGTGCAACACAAGGAGACAGGTCTCCTCTAGTCTGTAGGACTACATACATTATCAGAAAGCAAGGAAAAGGGCCACAGAAGAGGCAGGAGCATTTGAGAAAGGAAGACTTAGTTCTAAGAGTGACAGAAAACTTAGAAGCCATAAAGGGGATCAATACATTTGACGGGAAAATGAAACTCCTCTCTATTGAAAGGTATGCCATCAACAGTCAAAAGACCTGCCAAACTGAAAAACTATTTGTATAACCAAAGGCCTGCTTTCTTTAATATGAGAAGAGCTGCGTGGGATCAATAAGGAAAAGACTGACAGGTGAATAGCAAAATGGGCAAGGCAGGCAACAGACAACCTCCAGGACAAAAAAACAAAAAACAGTAATGGCTCCTACATCTATAAGAAGGAGCTCAGCCTCACTTGGGAAAAGAGAAAGAGAAGTTGAAACTACCTGTGACTTAGCTATCAGACTGGCCAGGGATGGGGGAACTTAACATTTACTGTGTACACTTAAGTCTTACGTCCCTTGCAAATTTTATACCGGCTGCATATTTTGCCTTTTCAAAAGTAATGTTTCAAATGCAAGCAGGCAGACAGCTCCTAAGCAAAGAGGTCTAAAATGGACATAGACAGATGTTGCTTCCTACCCGGCAGGCAGCTCTCTGACCTGCTCATTCATGCATCTGCACCTACTCTGTGAGCAGCTACTGAGCCTGGTGACGCTTTGGGCACTAGGGAGACCTCTGTAAAGGAAATAGAGCCCCTGCTCTCAGCCCTTGGATTCTGGCAGCAGGAGACAGCCAATAACCACATCCACACATGGTGTGAAGGGGATGATGGAGGCAAAGTGATGGGCAGGGAGACAGGGCACTGGTAGGAAGAGGAGTGGACTTTACGTATATATATGTACATGTGTATATGTATATGTGTGTGTTTATGTATGTGTATGTATGTGTGTGTTGGTGTGTATATATATATATATGGTTCTCAAGTAAATTCCTAAGGAGACAGTGACACTCGAGCTGAGACCTCAAAGAAATGGGAGAACCCTAGAGAGATCTGAGTTGGGGTGGAGGTGGGTGGGCAGCAGCTTTCCAGGCAGAGGGAACTGTAAGTGCAAAGGCCCTGTGACAGATACAAAGCTAGTGTGTGCCAGGAGCACAGGGAGACCAGTCAGGTGAATGCTGAGTGAGCAAGAGGGGACATGGGAGGAGGTGAGGCCAAAGAGGTGTGCAGGGCCAAGCAGAGTGGACTTAGCACCTCCCTGTGGACCAGGAGGCTAGCAATGCCCTGGCAAGGGGCCAAGCTCAGAGTGTGTGCTGGTTCCTATGTGTCTGTGGGATTTGAATTTCAAATACAAACTGTCATTGTTTTAGGGGAAAACTTCCTTGAACTACTGTTTTTCCAGGCTTTATGAAAAGGGAGCACAAATCATTTTTTAAATTTTCTGCTTCAATTATTAATGCTTTTCAACATTTTCTCTTATTTGGTGATAAATTACATCAAGAACAAAGCCTGTTTGGGTGACTTTTCTCTAATGAGTTGCTTTATGCCTCTTTATCAAAGACTTCTGCTTCTATCATTACAAGTACTATTGATCTGAAATATTTTTCAGAAATAGGAGTTTTTTATGGTTCTAGAATATTCCATCATGAAAGTACCAAAATCATTTAACTAAGTTTCTGGGATTAACAGAAACTGAATTTCTGAATTAATAGTCTCTTCACAATTCCTTCTACTCTCTTGTTTTCCCACCCACCCTCACACACACACACACACACACACACACACTATACATATACCACACCAAACTCATATTCACCCACATAAAACACACATCACAACACAGTGCACATGCGCACTACACACAGACTTCATGACACATGCATCTCATACAGCACACACATATGACACACACCACATGCACACTACACACCCATCAAGGTATGCCGTCAACACAGCCCACAAGTCATATTTACACCACATACCGACACAAAGGCAGGTAAGAGAGATGGGGTGAACTCGGTCTCCAGTTCCTCCCTATTGGGTCCTCTTTCACAGGCCCCTGTCCCTTGGGGTGTCCCTGGAGACAACCCGTCCCTCTAGCTCCCTCTCCTTACTGTTCAAGCCCAGGAGCTCCCTGGCTCCCTGCCTGTGCTGGCACAGACCCTGCATAACCGGCCCTGCTGCCTCTCAGTACCGGCCCTGCCCACATCCTTGGCAAGGGCCTCATCGCAGGCCTTAATCCTTCCCAGCAGGAGCCTACCAATACTTGGACCTCTTCCCCCAGTCTCACTGCCACACCCCTTCACCCCATAAGTGCGCAGCCCCCTCCCTCACCCCAAAGAGGAGCCAGGATAGAAGCCTTCCACCTCAGGCTCCCCTGAACTCCCTCACAAGGGTCTCCTCTGAAGGATCCATGAATCTCGCCTCCCCCTCTGCTTCGTGCATGTTTCCTGCTCTCTCCACAGGCGCGCAGAGTCCACAGGAGAGGGCACCCCGAGGAGCAGGGGACACTGAGAAGGGGTGCCCTTTCCTCAGGATCCTCTACTTCCATTCAGCAGAAAACCACTGAAACGTAAGAGTCTGTATCTAGACAGAAACACAAATCCGCAGTGCCTCTGCCGTGAATGGAGGGAGGGTGCGCCCCTTAGCGTCTTTGTGCAGTGCACAACCTGGACTCCCAGACCTGCCTTCCTGGCTTTTAGATCTCTATCACGAATGTGTCCTTCCCAAGTCTACTCCCCTAACTGACCATTAGACACTGCTTCATCTTGGAAGACACTGGAGGTCAAATGGTTAAAACCAGCATCTCGCCAGAAACATAAAGCACCACCCTGTTCTATCCTGTACTGTCCTTCCCCCAGGTGAAAACTTCCTCCTTAGACTTAGGAGGTAGAGTGTTACAAGATGTTAAAAGGGGGAAGTTAAAAGTTGTCAGCATAAATACTGGCAGATATATGTTGTTGTTTTTCACGCATACTAGAGAATACTCGTGGGGCGTCAGTCCTCACTAGCTGCTGAATTCGACTTTCTTCCATGTTGTAGACATAGAAGCGAGACTTCCCATGGCTGAGTGACTCCTCCAGGGGCAGCATCTCCAGGGGCGGTCCGTTCAACCCCCAAATCTCCTGACTGCTAGGGGGTCCCTCACCATACCCCTCCCCCAGCTTTCCATGTGGCTGCTGTGCTTCTTGGCCACCTGAGTCCCCAGGGTGTGAGCTTGGATGTCAGCTTCCACTTAGGGATCATTCTTACACTGTAGTCAAAAGCCATTTAAGAAATCAGCACAGGGAAGATGATAATGGAAGTGCTGGTAACCTTTAATGACAGTGGCCCTTGCAAAATGTATAGTTCAGGAAGGGCTGGCGCTTGATCCAAAAAGCTCTTGTTAAAATCCAATCATCTTCAGCAATGAGCATTAGCAGGAAATGCCTGCGATGAACAAAAACACAGGAAAGGTTAATGGCCTTCTTTGCTAAAACGGGTTGGATTTTATCTCACGTTCCAACGCAGCCTCAGATCAGGCGTGCGCTGAAGAATTATTTTTTTCTTTTTGGTAATCAGGAGAAAAATTGATTACCAAAATTATAATTAAGAGCTGGGGAAATATGCAACAATTTGGCTGCTTCATTTAGCACATATTTCAGGTTAATTGCATGATTTTGCTAATGAAGATATTTGCATGAATATTCTCCGTGGCTGCATTCAACTCATTGTGTAATGAATACACGGCAAAGCAGATGGCTTCACTGTTTGGTGGACACAGGACAGGACAAAGACTGAAGCCCTCTGACGTCTGGAGACAACCCGGCTCCACCAGTCAGGGTCTTCACTGGTGGTCTCTGACTCTCCTGGAGGCTTTGACAGCAGTCCTTTTACAACTGGATCGTACTCTAGTTTTGAGAAAGATTAGATGATTCCAGGCAGAAGTAGAAAAGCTACCGTTATTACCATGCTTTGACAAGGTATATTAAAAACTATTTCACCCACAATTGTCCAGTCTTATTCCCTGCAGGTAATCAGAACTCATTTCCATTTTTAAATAGTAAATGTTCCTATAACATTAAATAGAATTTAGAAAACTCAAAGAAAATAAAAACAGCCCATTCTTCTGCTACTCAAAGGTAACCACTGTTAAAGTTCAGGAGTGTCCTGTGCTAAACACTTGTCCTTTGCATAAATATCCTGTTCAGTTTTTTACCAAAATAGATTATCTCGGGCCTCCCCAGTGGCGCAGCGGGTAGAACACTGCACTGTGAAGTTGTCTGCAGCCTCTGCAGCACAAGTTTGATCCCTGGCCAGCCAGGGAGAAACCCACATGGCGTGGCAGACCTCTCCTGCTTCTCCCACTGCTCCCCTCAGCAGGGTCTTTGGTCTGTCTGCCTTTTCTGCTCCCCTGCTCTCTCTGGTAAATTCTTTCACCCTCCCATGCCTCTGGTCTGTAACCCAGTTCTTGTATAAATAAATAAATCTTTTAAAAAAATGGATTATCTCTAGTATTTTATTTAAACTGTTTTCACTGAACAAGAAATATGAACATTTTTTATGTCTGTTAGCATTTTTTTTTACCGTTGTGTCAAGGGCATTAACCCACACCTCTGTCTCCAGGACCTGAATCCAGCTCCCAGGTGGAGTCACAGCAGCAGGCCAGTTGCACATCTGTCACCATGAAGCCTGTGCTCCCCAGCTCTGCCTACAGACCTGTGTGTTGCCCACTATGGGCCCAGCAGCACAAGTGCCAATAACCCTGCCTGCAGCCCTGGTGAGAAGAATCAGTTTAATTGAGGTAACATGGCAGGAGGCTTCAGGCACGTATCTCAAGCCAGTATTCTAGGGTGGGTGTTGGAGAGTGTGATGTGGCTGAGGGACAAGGAAAATACTGCGAGGTGCAGGATGGCAGCACCTGCTTGGTTGCTTTCTACATTGTGGTGAAACTCAGATTGGGGTGCAGACCTGAGACAACAGCCAGAAGCCCTCACTTCTGAATGTTTGGCCACAAGCCAGGCATCTCAATCCATCGGCCATGGTCACCTTTCTGTCTGGGTGACATGAGGTCGCCTCGAGGACAGTGAGTGCTAACAAATAACCTGGTTTTTCCTCATTGAAAAAGGGTAGAAGTATTTTTGTCCCATCAGCTCATTCTCTCTGGCCTTTCCTGCTCATCTTGCAAGATAAGCAGGAGGAAGGACCAGTGGGGTCACTGAGGAGAGACTCACACACAGCAGTAAGTCAACAGTAGCTTGAACAAATAGGACTTTTCATAAAGAGATGTTGAATTAGCCCTGCATGTCACGTGGAAATGGTGAAGTTGTATGGGGGAACATGTTTATCAAAACCTTGAAGCATCTTTGCATGTTGCATAGACATTGGGACTTCCCCAGAGTTGCTTCTGGGTAGAGGCTGGACAGAGGAGCAGAGGCGTAGTTGAGGGTGGAAGTTGGCCCCGGCACCTGGGGCAAAGGCCAGGGGCTCCTGCCCTGCAATTCCAGCAGGCACACTGGGGCGCCCTGTGGGGCAGGCAGTGAGGGGCATCTGCAAGGGACTTCAAAGCATCGTACTCACCTCCAGTTAACCTGAGGGACATATGCCTGCAAGCGCCCACCCAGCTCAGCTGTGCATGCCCGAGCACCCTGGCGAGGTCCAGGTCGTGTAGCAGGAGCAGGCATGCGCAGGCCCCTCACTCTTTGCTATGGTGAGAGCACAAGGCTCTGTGTGCCAAGAGGCCCAGGGAAGCCGTCCTCCAGGTCTCCTGAGCAGCTGGGAGGAAGTGCTGCTGCAGAAAAGCTACATGGAGGGGATGCCCTGGGCTGGGACCTGTCACAAGGAAGGTAGGTTTGGGGCAGGGCTAGGTAAGGTTGGGGCAGTCAGTTCCTCTTTGCTAG